ATTCCTGGTTTTATTTTTATTTAATATTTACGTTTATTTTATATTTTATAATACTGAAGATTGAACCCAGGACCTTTGCACTGAGCTACATCCCCAGACCTTTTAACATTTTTTATTTTGAGAGAAGATCTTGCTAAATCATGCAGGCTGGCCATGAATTTACAAACATTTCCTCTCACTCTGTGAGTTATCTTTTCACTTTCCTTTGAAGCTCAAGTTGTTTGTTTTTCGGGGTTTTTTTGCTTAAATTCTTTTATTGGTACATTTTAGGTATACAGTACATTTACATTTATCAGTGGGTGCTTGTACCTGTACATGATGGATCTTGGTTCTTATTTTTCCCCCATTACCTGTGCGCCCTTCACCCCCTCCACCCTTCCCTATTTACACAGACTTTGTTTCCATTTTTTTCTTATCTCATAATTTGAAGCTCAAGTGTTTAACTTTGAGGAAGCCTAATTTATCTTTTTGTTGTTCTTGGTGGTAGCCATTGCCTGATTCAAGATCATAAAAATTTACTTTTCTCTTTTCTTCTAAAAGGTTTATAGTTTTAGCTCTTCCATTTAAGTTCGTGATCACTTTGAGATAATTTTCTTGTATATGGTGTGAGGTAGGGATCCAACTTCACTCTTTTGCATGTGTATATGCAGTTGTCCTAGCATTATTATTATTGTTATTATTATTATTATTTATTTTTAAAAAATTTTTTGCAGGCCTGGGATTTAGCTCAGTGGTGCCGCTGCCTGCCTTGCAAGCTCAAGGTCCTGAGTTTGATCCCCAGTAACTCCCCCCCCCCCATTTTTTTCTGGTTTTGTGAGACAGTGTCTCGCTATGTAGTGCAGGCTGGCCTTGAATTCATGGCAATCCTCCTGCCTTGGCTTCCTGAGTTCTGGGATTACAGGTATGTACCACCATGCCCTGTGGCCTACCACTATTTTTTGAAAAGGTTATTTTCCCCCCATTGAGTTGTCTTAATATCCTTGTTGAAAATCAACTGATGATAAATTTAAGGGTTCATTTCTGGATGCTGAATTCTCTTCCATGTTTTTTTTTTTTTTGGTACCAGGAATAGAACTCCGGGCCTTACGGTTGTAAGGTAGGTAGCAGAACCACTGAGCTAAATTCCCGGCCCTCTTCCATGTATTTTCATGTCTATCCTTATGACAGTACCACACATTCTTGATTAATGTGAGTTTGTAGTATGTTTTGAACATGAGAAGTGCGAGTTTTCCACATTTGTTTTGTTTTCAATGTTGTTCTGGCTATTATGGATGCCTGGTATTTCCATATGAAATTTAGGACCTTCATGTCGATTTCTAAATAAAAGGTGGTCAGAATTTTGATAGGAATTGCAGTCTATAGATCACTCTGTAGAATATTTCCATCTTAACATTAAGTTTTCTACTTCAAGAATATAGATCTCAGGGCCGGGATTTGGCTCAGTGGTTCTGCCACCTGCTGTGCAAGCTCAAGGGCCTGAGTTTGATCCCTGGTACCAAAAAAAAAAAAAAAAAAAAAGAATATAGATCTCTTTTAATTTCTTTATGTAGTTTTCATTGCACAAGTTTTATACTTCATTTGTTAAATTTATACATACATGTTTTATCCTTTTTGATGCTATCATAAATGGATTTTTTTGGCACTGGGGATTGGACTTAGAGCCTTTGCACTGAACCACATCCCTAGATCTTTTTATTTTTTATTTTGAAGCAGAGTCTTGATAAGTTGCCCAGGTGGGCCTCCAACTTGTGACACTTCTGCCTCAGCCTCCTAATCAGCTGAGATTACAGGTGTGTATCATCACATCCAACTATAAATGGAATTAAAAAATTTCATTTTCCAATTATTCATTGTTAATATGTAGAAATATAATTGATTTTTTAAATACTGGGGCTCAAACTTAGAGATGCTCTGCTGCTGAGCTAAATCCTCAATCCTTTTCTATCTTTTATGTTGAGACAGGGTCTAGCTAAGTTCCTCAGGTGGGACTCAACTTGGGGTCCTTCTGCTTCAGCCCTCCAGAGTAAAATACATTTGATTTTTTTGTTGTTGTTATATTTTGAGACAGGGTCTCACTATGTAGTCCAGGCTGCCCTCGAACTCACGGCAGTCCTCCTGCTTTAGGCCTCTGAGTGCTGGGATTACAGGTGTGTGCCATCACACGTGGCTCAAATACAATTGAGATACCTTTGACGATTTTTTTTCTAGGTTCCTCTTGTCCTGAACAAGGAATTGGTCAAGACAAGCACAAAAGGTAGTGAGATTTTACATTTATTAAAGGTAAGAAAAGAAACATGCTCTGCAGAGCAGGTGTGGGCCAATGAAAAGTAGGCGAAGAAGTACACTCTGCAGGGTAAGAGGGGACCACTGTGAAAGAGAGAGCACAGTGGCCAAGAGTTGAAGATAGCACTTTCTGATTGGTTCCAGGTACATGTCTCCTGGATTTCCAGCCAACTGGCCATGCCCTAATCTCCTGCCTCACTGTGGCGATTGTGAATTATGATGATATGAACAAACATGGTGTACCAACACCTGTTCAAGTCCCTGCTTTCAATTCTCTTGGGTAAACATGGAAAAGTCACTTTGAACTTACTTTTGTGGTGCTAGGATGGAACCCAGGGCATTGCACATGCTAAGCATGTGCTCTACCACTGTGCTACACCCCTGGCAGCTCCTTAGACATCTAAACCACTGTGCTAAATCAAGAAACAAAATAAAACGGGCCAGGGGATTTAGCTCAGTGGTTTCGCTGCCTGCTGCGCAGGTGCAAGGATCCAAGTTCGATCCTCAGTACCAAAAAAAAAAAAAAAAAAAAAAGAAATGAAATAAACCAAGAAATGTTCACCCTGTTATTTATTCAGAATGTCAACTGGTATTTTATAAACTGTTTTCTGTTGTTGAGTGTATGGTATATAGAGGGTGCATTATTGTGGAGAGTAGTTGTTATTAGCCTTTATGGGATCTAGATTTCTTTTAGAATCTGGTGAAAGCCATGGGCTATATTCTCAGAAAAATGCATACAGAGTATTGTGCATCTAACTCTGGATCTCTTCTCTCTGGGGTACTGGGGATGGAACCCAGGACCTTGCACATGCTAGGCAAATGCTCTGCCACTGAGCTACACCCACAACACCAAAGAACATTGTTTTTTAAAATGTAAGTCTTTGGGGAAAAGGGATTGGAGATACAGAAAGGTTCTTCGTGGCAGTAGCTCGGGGTACCCCTCTGCTTCTCCACCTGCAAATCTCTAATTCCCTGCTTTGCTTTCCAGAGGGTTACTGTAGCCCCTTTCAGCCCTCAACAGTCATGACATTTCTTACTCTTTTTTTCTTTTTTGGATTCCAATTGCCTTTCCCCACCTCCAATCATGACCTCTAACGAATAAGAGAGCAGAGCAATGTTTAGGTTAATTTACTGTTTATTATTAAAGTGATTCTCACAAATGCTGAATTACATGGATGTGAGGGGACATGCTGGTGAACACAAAGCTTTGAATATTTGAGGCAACTGACAGAAAAACCTGGCTACACTGCTTTTTGTCAACCTTGCAACAAGATGGCTGGTGAGTGCTGGGCCGGGGGTGGGGGCCTTTGGCAGGAGGTGGAGGAGAGGGCTGTAGGTGAGAGCACAGCTCCCTGGCGGCCGACACCAGGGCACTATGGCCTGGGTCTGCTCAGTGTTTAGGGTTCTGATCTGGCAGAATCTGGTTTCCCTGCTGTAGATCTGCGTGGCCTTTGGATTGGAAACTAAACCCTTGGCACCATGAAGCTGCCTCTCTGCCTTTCCCCATGTCTGCCCATAGCCACCACGCTCAGTGTGCTCTGCAATGCCGAGGAGCGTCCCTGGGACACGGGCAGGCATAGGCGGCAGGTGGCAATGCCAGCTCACATCTGAGCACCCTGTCTCTTGGCCTAAGAGAAGACTTCAAGCCCATCATTTTTCTGAATGTTTAGTGCTTGTTAAGGGAGGAAGCATCACTGAGGTCACTCTCCATGCTTCCATGACACCCTTCCTGTCTTAGATCACCTTGTCCCAGGCTGGCCTGGCTGAGGCTCCAACCTGTAAATTCAGATGAATCAACATTCACGGTGACAGCTTCTCCATGGGGTCCAAAAGGGCTTGAGTTGGATTCCAACTCCACCGACCTCTAACCCTTTCATCTTGGCCATGTCTCTTGGTCTCCCTGAGTCCTGATGCCACACATGAAGACAGTGTTGAGCCCTGCAGCCTCACTGGGCCGAGAGGACCATCCACGTGGAAGGCAAGGGTAGAGCTGGGTGCCTGGCACATAGGAGGCACTGAATGAATGTTTGCTTCCTGGTAAGGCTTGTGGAGTGCAGACAGTTTCAAAGGGACCATCCAGCAGGCTCCAGGCTGGCATGGCCCAGCAGGGGCTGTTAGGCCTCAGGGGACCCCAGGGCCTGCTTTGTGGGGGCCATAAGAGGAGGGTGCTGGAGGCAGCACGTGCCATGGCCCTGAGATGACTTCCTCCACTGTACCTTTCCAAGCAAGACAGGCAGCACAGGGTAGACATCAGCCTTGTCCTGCTTCCAGCTCATTCCTGGAGGGCTCATGACCTGTGAATGCCATGGAGGCTGAGGCAGCAGGGAGGAGAGGGACTCTTTATTTGTCTCTGTGTGTCCCACGGGCATTTCCACACATATCAAGTCCTTCAGCCTAGGCCTGAATGGCATCAGCTGGGCACTGTCCCCATGTGTATCTTTGGTGAAGCGATGGGACCTTGGTATCAGCTACAGGAGGTTCAGCAGGGAGTAGGACAGTTGGGCTCCCTGGGTGAGAAGAGAGGTGCCTGCCTTCTGGGGCACTGGCTGTGTTGGGCAGGGTCAGCCAATGATGGCAGGGATGGTGGCTGCTGTCCTGGGCAGGTTTCATCTCTGTGTCTCCCCTCTTCTTTGTCTTCCTAGGAGCCTGGTGCACAGTCAATGCTTGGTAAATGCTGCTAAATGGCCCAGCTTATTTCAGTGTCTTATTTTCCTGCTGGAGTGGCAGAGGCACTGAATAACATCAGCTCCTAGATTCAGTTAAGGACTCACAACAGCCCTGACCATGACAGTGCATTTGTTAGAGGTCAGAGGTCGCTCTTAAGGCTTCCACACCTGGCCTCTGTGGCCAGCGCTTTCTGGGGCCCTGCACCCTGGGTGTCTGTCCCCAGCAAGGGCAGGAGCCAGAGTTTGGAAAAGTGGTTGCCACTACTGGCCAGGGTGGGGTATGTTGGGGAACACAGGCTGATTTTGCTGTTAGAGGGACTGGGTGGAGCCCAAAGCAAAGAGGGGCAGCATAAGGAGAATAACCTGGACATAAAAAGCCTAATTTTGGGCAGCAGAGGAGGCTGATTGAGGGTGTGGCTGGCCACTGAACCTCAGTGCAGACTTTTTCCCTGTGGGCCTGCAAAGCAGAAGGGGCCAGGTGTGCAGGAAGAAGTACCAGGGTGTTTCCTGCATTCCTGGGTCCACTCTGGCTGCCTTCTCCAGGAAGCCCAGCTAGGGGCCCAGGAGCTGCACCAAGTTCAGAGGAATCTGGGGGCACCACGGACCCTTTTCCAGGCCTCACCAGATGGCAGAGCTTTGGCTTCCAGAAGCTGTCCTGTGCTGTTTCCCTGGGAGCACAGGGTGCAGTGTGGCTTCTGGAGCTCCCTGACTGGCAGTGCCATGGGACTAGGGCTGCCCAAGGCCAAAGCCAGGGGTAGGCTGTGTTGGCTTCCAGCTCAGGGCCTCCGTTTCTGGTTTCTCACCAGGAAGGCTCCTGCATAGCTGACCCCCGCTTCCATCTTTCTCCAAGTCTCCCCATGAAGACGTGCCCTGCAGCAGTCGAGCTTTTGGGGAAATGGACTTGTTTTCCAGAGAGCCCCATGAGAACCAGGGTCGGCTTTGGCTTTCATGGCTGGGATCCAAAGTACCGGTGTGGGGAGCTGCAGCAGACCCTATCTCTGGGCTTTATGTCACCGGGATGGTGGGGGTGGTGTTTCACCAGGAGGGCTGCATGGTGGTGGTGAGGGCAGCGTCTCTGGCTGCCTGGTTCTTCTCCAAGCCTCTTTTGTAGCATGAGAACCAAAGAAGAGTTTGATGGTAAGAGAAGGAGGAAGAGCCTGCCCTATGCCTGCCCTGTCCTGCTCTGCCCTGGGGCCACTGGGCATGATGTGGCCACAGTGGTGGTGACAGATGTGGGATGAGAGGAGACATGGGGGGTTGGCTTCGTGGGCATATAGAGAGATGCCCGAACCACTAAGGAATCACAGGGCAAACTTGAGAGAGCCTGAGAGTGCTTTCTGGATTTTGATGGCATTGAAAACATCCTTAAGAAGTGCAATGGTTCATTTTAGGTGTCAGCTTGACTGGCCTAAGTAGAGACCCAGACAGCTGGTAAACTCTCCCTTGTGGGGTTCCTAGGGGAGTTTCCAGGGAACCAGCAGAGCAGGCAAAGACCCACCCTCCCCAGCATGGGGGCCCATGCAGTACCTGGGTTGGTTGAGGGGCCCCAATAAAACAAAAAGGTGGAGGAAGGGACAGTTTACTCTCTGGGAGCTGGCAGATCCCTCTTCTGCTCCTGGGTTCTTGGGCCTCTGGAGTCTAGGGTGCCCAGCTTCTCTGGTTGGATTCAGCCTGAACTATGCTGCCAACTTCCTGCTTCCCCAGCATGCACATGGCACCTCAGAGAGCGTCTTGGCCTCCATGGTTCTTCAGGGTGGTTCTCACAATAAGTCTGCTCTGATCTTTCTCTCTCTATATCCTGTCGGCCTTGTTTCCATGGAGAACCTTAATAAAGAGTTCAAGTCCCTCACAGGGTCCTTCCTGGGGCACTTGCCATCTGCACTTGTTTCTGGGGACCCTGACAAAGGAAGGGAGGTCTCTTTCTGGAAACTGAGGTTGACCTGCAGGGACTGTGACCAGCAGAGGTGCAGTGGCTCCTGGCAGGGCTATGAGTTAACCCCAACCTTTCAGCAAGTGCAAAAGCTCTGCCCGCCATCCTCCACTTGGACTTGAGCCGAGAAACTGGCTAGTGGCAGCCAGGGACTCAGCTTTGGTAGATGCATGTAATGGTGGCAACTCATTCCTGAGTCCCCAGCCCTTTTCTGGACTGTAGAATGTGTCACACCCTGCGTGCTGGTCACCAGGCTATGGTCTCGTGACCTTGCTCACCTGTCAGCCTTGTCACAGTGTCTGTGGGCCATGTGTATTTCTCAAACCTCCCATCAGTCAGGCAGGGCTGGGAGCAGGAACCCTGGTGGCCACTTGGAATCAGTGGCCAGAGTTCCTTTTAAGATTTTTCTGTGTCCCTTGGAAGTTTTAAGATTTGGTAACCTGAAAAATACAGACTATTTCTTATGCCCAGCTTACAGGTGGCAGCAAGCGGTATGACAAGCAGCGAGGACTTGTGGACCCTGGCATGCTGGTGCCCTCAGTTGGCTGTGTCCCAGGTGCTGGCTTCCTGGTCACACTCAGACTTCTTGTGTCCAAAAGGACTCAGACAGGCAGCTCGGTGTGGCAGAAAGGAGGCTGGACAGGTGAGGAGTGAGTGGCCGCTCCAGGGTCCCCTTGAGAAAGACCTCATTTCCTGGCGATTTGTGAGCACAACATGGAACCCAAGGGGCATCACCACAGGGCTGGAACTCAGGCCCCTTCTGAAGTCTGTGGTTGGGCCCTGCAACCCCAGGGGGAGGCTGCCATCCACTGGGTCCCATTGAGGGCAGGGACGAGCGTGAGGGTGGGGCCGGTGGTCCAACAGTACCCGAGCCTGGTTCCTAAGAATGCACATTTGGAAGCACATCTGGGGGCAGCCTGGCTCTCCCTGCCTGCCACGGGAGGTGGCAGTGGCAGGAGGAGCAGCTTAATCCTCTAGGCAGGCTAGCAGCAGCAACCCATACTGAGAGTCACTAACAAGCATTTTCCTAACGTACCACAAATAGAAGTATATATATATAATCTTATATTTATATTTATATATACAGTACTTAATTAGCCGTCCCATGGAGGGAAAGCACAAACCTACTTTCTCCCCTCGCAGCTGTGTCCCGTCCATGACAGCATCCTTAGAGGCCAGCGACAGGGCACCATGTCCTGTGCCCAAGGCTGGAGGAGCCTGCAGGGTGTGGCAGCCCTGCGGGCATCAAGGCAGGCTTGTCAATCCCACGTGTCAGCTCCTTTCCCCTCCTTCCTTCCGGTGTGGAGACTTCCTGTGTGGATAACATCTTCCCACGCCTCCTCCAGTGTCCCAGGGAGAGCATGGGCCACGTTCTTCTCTCCTGAAATGTCAGGTGTAGGGCACGCACTCTCTGACCACCCATGAGGCGGGCATGGCATGTCACAGCCAGGCGGCGTCCTGCCAGGAGACAGTGCTTGTGGTGTCCTGGGAAATGAAGAGGTGAAGGGAGGGACAAAGGCGTCCTGCAGCAGAGTCGCCCCCTGGGAAGGCAGATCCGAGGGAGATCCGAAAAGGCTTGGGCCTGGGCCTAGCCCTCTACAGCTTTCCCAAGGGGCACACATCATGGGTTTCCCAAGGTGACACAGAGGCCCAGGGGCCGCCTTCTGCTCCTCCTTGGAGGAAAGGGAGTCTTCCTTTCCCCTCACCGTCCCTGAAGGACAGCACTGAGCGTTACTTGTAGGGTCGCAGGAACCGGGACACTTTGGAGCGCAGTAGTTTGATGAAGGAGCGAGGGAACATCTCCTTGGACTCCTGGGCTGTATACTTGAAGTAGTTCTGGGGGTGCGCCAGCACATCGAACAGCGCCTTGATCAGCTTCTTGTCCTGCAAGACACAGGTTGTGGGAGTCTTCAAATGCCGAGGGACCCACTGTCCAGAGGCTGGGCCAGGGCCCACGCCGGGTCTGGCCCCCTTGGTGAGAACCAATCCCTGGGCCTCTGACCAGTGCTGCTAACTGACAGCCACAGCCTCCCCTTTATGGCACAGTGGCTTTGCTGCTCAAGGTCACAGCAGGATGAGGAGGGAGTCCAGTCCCAGTGGCAGAGTGGCTGTAAGTGACAACAGCAGTGGGTGGAACCCGCTCATTTTAAGACACCACCCTGCGAAAGACCCTCGTTTCCAGGCAAGCAAGTGAGGCTGAGAACCTTAGGCAAAGGTCCTGCCCGAGGCCACGTGACCAGGTCCAGGTCCCCATTGCCCCAGCAGCCAGCTGGCCTCAGGGCCCTGGTTTGGGGGACAGATGTGCCAGCCTCAGTACCTGTGCCAGGACCCCTGCCCCCAGGATCTCGTCCTCCCCTCCTGTCAATGTCTTTCCTCCCTTCTCCAGGGGCCAGGGATCAGGATGGCGGGGCGGGGCGGCAGGGATGGCCCAGCCACCATCTATCCCAGAGTCGCATGCATTCCCCCACAGTAAACTCACTTTCAAGATTTCCTGGTGATTCTCCGAGGCGTACAGGCGCCCGTCGCGCACGATGTCTTCGATCAGTTGCTGGTAGTCCTCTGGGCAGCCGGGCGAGAGGGAAAGGTGAGGGCTTGAGACCCTCCCGCTGAGGCCCCTGCCTCCCTGGCTCTGGCTGTACGATGGCCCGGGGCACAGCTCTGCCCGGCCTTAGCACCTGGGGCTTCCTCCACCTGCACATCCTTCCTCCTCCAGACGCAGCTGCCCCTCGGAACCTTCCAAACCCTGCAGGGGTGGCCTCACTCTGTTTTGCCTGGTGACAGGGACAGGTGACTGTGCGTCCTTTGGGCCTGGCACACTGGCTGTGAGGACAGGGTCCCGCCTTACCATCGTAGGTGACGTAGGGAACTTGGAAGCCTTTTCCACTGTTGCCCTCATTGGATTTGAACTGGATCCAGAGCTTCCGGGAACGAGAGGTGAAGGCGATGGGTCTCTCGTAGGTCTGGCAGGTCTCGTAGGTGGTGATGGATGTGGGGGAGGCTGTGGGGAGCCGCACCATTGTGGAAGCGCCCCCAGATCTGCAGGGCCTCAACTCCCCCCCCCCCAGTTGGCCCCCTGCACCCACAATGCCTGGTTCCTCAAACAGGCAGCTCTTCCCCAGCATCTGCCTTGGTGCTCCTGGTCCTTCTGAGCCCTGCGTCCTCCAGGAAGCCTCCAGATGCCCCCTCCGTGTTCTTGTTCTGCTCTGGTGAACCCACTCCTACAGCTGCTCCTCTATCATAGCCTCTGTCTCCCCCTGTGCAGAGCCCCACTGGGCTGTGAAGCGGGCCGTGCAGGCCGCCATGGACTGCTGGAGCCTGGGGTCAGGTTTGAGAGGCCTCTCCCCCTGTGAGCCAATGAGCAAGGGTGCCCTGCTTCTCCCTGGGGAGCCTTCCTGGGCGCTCCTGGACGTAGGTGAGCTGTGGGTGAACAGTGCAGGGAGGCGGGGGCCTTGACGGGGATGGGCGGGGCAGTGGCCCTGGGCTGGGCTCTGGATGGCTGAGGCACCCCAGGTGGCTCCCTGGCTGTTTCCGGTTCAGCAGCCTCACTGAGCAGGTGGTGCCAGACATGGGAATAAAGTGCCCACACCCGGCAGCAGCAGGAGCTCTCTGCCAGGTTGCTGCAGGGGCATCCAGCTGCTTCCGCTTTCTCACTGCCAGGACACAGGCACATGCTTGTCCGTGCCCCTGTGGAAGGTGGCTCTGCTCAATCCTCCAGCTTTCACGGTGTGCCTGGGTGGCCTTTCGCTCACCCAAGCCTCAGAGGGAGGAGGAGGGCACTTCCGGGGTCTCGCTGGAGTGTGTGGCAGGAAGCACAGGAAGCAGGGGGAGGGGACTGCAGCTGGCTGAACGGCCCAGCTGGGAGAAGACATCGGGCTGGCTAGGTCCTGTTTAGGGCACCTCTAAGCTCCCCGACTTCCCCACGTTGCTCCTACAGAGTGCACACCCTGGCACCTCTTCCTGCCCCTGGAGCTGTACCAAGGTGAGGAGGGGTGCTGGTGCTCAGGTGAGACTGAGACCCGTCCCCAGCCCCAGCCCTGAGGCCAGCACGCACCGCTCTTCCTCATGACCAGGACATCGCCGCACTCGTCCTCGATCGGCAGGAAGATCTCGGGGACCACAATGAGGATCCTGCGCTTGGGGGGTGGTACGATGTGCCACACACACTCGGCGTTGGCTGGGTAGTCGCCGGGGTAGTTGGGGGACTCGATGTAGCCTGTGTAGTCACCAAGCTCACCACCACAGTGCTGGTCTGTGGGCACCGGGCCGGAGGGCCCGATCAGCGATCAGGCTCGGCTGGATGGGCACAGCCTGCTGAGTCTTCAGCCCAGCCTCCACCCAGCTCTCCCACACCCGCCAGCCCTGGCCTGGGGCCCTGCCTGGCTGCCCCTCGGCCCTTTCCACCTGCTGGCGTCTGAGGCCCACCCTGAGCAGCTCTTTCTTAGGGGGCTGCCTTGCCTGATGCAGGCTCACCTTGCATTTCTGTCAGCCCCCACCTGGCTGCCCGATTCTCTCCTGAGTGAAGCCCCACCTGCCCGCCCTTTCTCTCGGTTCACCCATCTGATGTGTCAGACACCCTGGCTGAGCCCACCAGCTGTGGCATGGGCGCCCTCCCCACCAGGGGCAGGAGATTACAGGTGGGCACTGCAGCGAGGGAAGAGATAAATGTTTTCCTTTCTTTGCTAACTAGTACATCCTCGTAGAGGCCAGATGTGACATTTTAATGAGCCAAATGGCTCTGCGCCTTAAAGGTATAAGGAAATCAATTTTGCAAAATGAACTAAATGTAAATATTAAATATACATTCATTTCCTGTGCATTCTCATTTAAGTATTTTCTCCTGTCAAGATTTCTGGGAAATGTTTTCTTCCCACCTCCAGCATTCCAGAAGCTTCCCTATCACCTGGCTTTTCTACTTTTACCCATCAAGACATCTAAAACCCTCCATCTGCAGACTCCTCTGCTGCACTGTTCTTCTGGTTCTGAGGGTTGTGTCCCCAGCTGCCACATCCAGGAATAAATGCCCTTTCACAGGTTTTTAGATGGTTCCAGACATGACCCATAGCCCCAGAAAACTGGTTAGGAAAAGGTAAAATGCAGAAACTACAAAATGAATTTAAAGTAACACAGCATTCAATCTGTAAAGCCTGGACTCCAGGGCACAGGCCGAGTCTGGCGAGCGAGGGGAACCGATGCACAATGCCCTCGGACAGTGGGCCAGGGGGGACACTGGCCTTCCTGGCTTGGGCTCAGGATGGATGCAGCCTTCCCAAAGGCATCCCACAGAGCAGGGGTGGTGGCATCGGTGCTTCCTCTCAGAGGGTTGAGGTCGGGTCTCACCCATGCCCACCCAGCATGCCCGGCCTCTCCACTCCCTCAAGAGTGGCACCTACTTTTACAGTGGGTGACATTAGTGGAGCCATCGAAGTCGGTGCTGGTGTTGCCCGGGCAGGTGATACAATGGTTCTGGCCAAACTCAGGCTGGTAGGTGCCTACAGGGCAGCGGATGCAGCGGTGCGTGGTGGTATTGTAGTGGTGGCCGGGGGAGCAGTGCACTGCAGGCGGGGGACACACGGGTGGGGGTCTGGTGCACCATTGCAGGGCAAGGAGCATCCTGTGCTCCCTCAAGACCTCTACCACCCAAGGATCTCCTTCCACTGGGGGATGAGGGGACAGACGGTCAGGAGGCTGAGTGCCCACCCAGGCAGGACACAAGGACAGCTCAAGAGTTGTTTGCTGGACACCGGGAAGAGCATATGGAGGGGCCCATGCCAGAGGCAGAGAGAGGACATGTGTGCAACCCAGGGATACTGTAGGTCACCTTGATGGGAGCAATTTTCAGGGAGCAGTGGGGCCACTGTGTGAATGAAGGGGTTCGGGGCAAAAAGGGAGGAAAGGAAGGGGAAAGAATGAGGCGAGACTGTTGTACAGGTGGGTGTGGCGCTGGGGGCTGGCTGATTTGTGCTGAGGTGGAGCAGCCAGCACGCAAGGCTCTGTGGACCCAGGGCCTTGGCTGGTGGTACAGACAGACTGACAGACAGACGAGGAGAGGGAGCCCGTTGAAGGGGAAGTGGGTCACCAGCTTGGAGAGGCGGTGTGGACCTGGTGTCCAGCAGTCCTGAGGGTACCCCTGATGTTGAGGGTGGCCAGGCAGAGGAGATGGGAGGCACACAGCGGTGGGCAGTGGGGGCCCTCACCTTTGGCCTCGCAGTCCTGGAAGGAGGTGGCACCCTCGTGCTTGGTGAGCAGTCCCCCACCACAGGGCAAACAGCCTGTGCGGCCGGGCTCGGGCTGGTATGTGCCCAGGGGACAGGTCTGGCACGGCTTGAAGCCATCGGCTGAGAAGGAGCCCGGAGAGCACTGGCCTGCAAGTCAGAGGTCACCGCTCAGGCTGGGTGTCGGTGGCCCCGGGCCCTGGGACAGGCACCAGAGTGGGGTGGGGCGGCCTGGCCAAGCCTGGCGTCCCTGTGCATGGAGAGGGGTGGTCAGTTGTGTCAGAGCAGTGGGAGGAGGCGGAGGGTCTCTGAGGATCCACGGGTAGTGCTGGGACAAAGGGAGGGACCAAGGGAAAGCTGACTTCAGCTCAGCATAAAGAATGTTCTAGAGTCCAGCAGGAAGGAAGTGTGCAGGCATCCCGGCACTGGGTGAGAAGTGGGTTCAGGGTCCTCTCAGCCCAGACTCAGGGTCTCTCCTCCTGTGGCCACCCTGAGCTCCAACAGTCACCATTCCAGGGGCAGCCACACTCGGAGAGGGCACCGAAGGAGGACAGAGGTCTCTGTTCCCCTTAGGCACACCCCCACCAGTGCTGAGGTCCCTGTGGCCTCTTCAGGGAGAGCCCCACAATGGTGCAGGAGAAGAGGCTGCTGGGAGACCCATCTCACAGAGGGGCTAAGTGGGGTGCTAACTGGTAAAGCCCTTCAAAAACTAAACTGTGCTTGGTAAATTGAAAAAGGGCTCCTTTTCAACCAGCTACAGGGAAAACGGTTTTGTTTTGTGTTTTGTGTTTTTTGTGTTAGTTGGTGATACTGGGGATTGAACCCAGGAAGCACTGGCCCAGCCCTTTTTACTTTTTATTTTGTGACAGGGTCTCATGAAGTTGCCCGGGTGACTTCCAACTTGTGATCTTCCTGTCTCAGCCTCTTGAGTAGCTGGGATTACAGGCATATACTACCATGCTTGGTCCAAAATTGTAAAGTTCTTTGTGTGGAGCAAAGTTCCTGACCCAGCAAGTGCATGGCTCAGCCAGTGATGTGTTTTGGTGAAGATAGAGCATTGCACAGGATGTGACGCCAAGCGTGAAGGACTCTGTGCCCCCCACAGCCCCCTTGATCTGTAAGGCACAAGGTGTGTGCACACTGTAAAGTCTCTGGCAAGCTGCCTGATGCCAAGTATTCAGGGTGCCTGAGAGCTGCGGAATGATGGGGCATTCTGAGGCACGGGCACCCCGGGAGCCACAATGCCCGGTCTGAGTGATGCCTGTGTGGAAACTGAGTGGCTCTGAAATGGCAAAGTGCTATAGACAATGCCATGCTCTGTGGCTACACAGGGCTTCTGCCTTTGCTTCAGGAGCCTCAGTCCAGGGGTTCTGCCCCCGCCCAGCCGCCCCCTCAGGCGGGCCCACACTCGCCTCCACATTCAGACACGTTTCGGGCACCGGCCAGGCCAAGTCCGTCACTGCTGGGGCATGGGGAGCAGCTGAGCTGGCCCTCCAGGTCCTGGTAGGTCCCCGACATGCACGGCACACACTGGGCCCGCTCACCGCTGAAGTAGGTGCCAGGTCCGCAGGCCACTGGAGAGGCAGGGAGGAGGGACAGCTAGGACGACAGTGGGCAGTGGGCCGGGCTGCATCCTGGGTGCCCACCCAGTCTCTCCCCCAGCAGATACGGCACCCCAGGGCCCAGTGGGGCCCAGCTCCAGCCTGGAAGAGCCAGGGCAGCCTGGGTGGCAGTCGTCCATGAGGACCTCAGTGGCCGGCAGACCCCTCCAGCCCCTCCTGGGGTCCTTCCGCTCCACATCCCGGCCTCCAGCCTGACTTCCTGGCCTTTTACCACACTGCCTCCTGGAAGTCTCCACCTGGATGTCCCACAGCCACTTCCTCCAGACCCCTACCCTCCAGCCTGTCCTTCCTGTGTTGGGGAGCTGGCACCCCAGGATGCCAGGCAGGGTGGCACCTGAGGGCTTCAGGAACACAGTGGCAAGAGGGTCTGGTGCTGGACAGAGGCTGTTGGGGAAATAATGTGGAGACGTGAGTGGAAGAGAGGGCCAGGGTGACAGGCTACAGGGCCACACTGGGCCAATGAGGAGAACAGTGAGGAAAGAAGGAAGCAGAAAATCTGTAAATTAAGGAGGAAGGGAGCCATATTTCTCCCTGCTGGAGAAGATATTTACAGACAGGGAGGGGAAGGTTAGAAAGAACCTTGGGTGGAACTGGAGGTAACTGTGAGCCATGGAGTCCTCTCTCTTTCCCTCTTACACACACACACACACACACACACACACACACACACACACTCAGGGTGTGGTGGGGGAAGCTCTTTCTCACAGGAGATGCTAAGGAGGCCAGATGACAGAATAGAGAATATCCTGATTTGTGGGAAATGTCAAGGAAAGCTGGGGCTGGTGGATGGGAGCTCTGAGGAGCAGGGTCTCTGTATGAACCCAGAATCTGTCCTCAGAAACTATCACAAGGGGAAAAGGTGGGTGGAGGAGCAGGAACCAGGGGCTCTCAGTGCCCTGTGGCGGCTGACAGAGTGGAGGACCAGGGATGGCAGCTGTGGTCTATCTGCCCTGTGACACAGCAGGCTCCGGCTGTCATGAGGAGATCACAGTGGGCAGTGTCAAGGGTGAACCACACATTGTGGGTTTGCCACACACCACGAGAGGGCTGGCTAGACCCCACGTACCTCAGCAGTGTGCCAAGGAAGAGACCTTCGTTCCTGGACGAAAAGGGACATGGAAGAACTGATGAAATGTAATGGGGTATCTGGGCTTGGCGGCATACGCCTGTAGTCCTAGCCTTCTGGGAGGCTGGGGCAGGAGAGTCATAAGCTCAAGCCCAGCCTGGGCAATTTAGTGACCTAGAAAAACCCTGTGTCTGAATAAAAAAATTAAAAAAGAGCCAGGGATGTAGCTTAGTGTGAAGGCCCTGGCTTCAATCCCTAGTACTGAAGAAAAAAAAAAAAAAGAAATGTCATGGGGAGTATGTTTTGGACAGTAAGGAGTCCACACACACACACACACACACACACACGCACGCACGCACGCACACGCACACACACACACACACATGCAACCCTACCATAATAAATGCTAGAAAATGCATAGGGAAATACAGATGAAGAAAGTATGCATGTTTTTTGTTCTGCTTAACGATGTTTCTGAAAGCTAGAAATAGTCCCAAATAAGTGTTCAAAATAAGAGAAAGATGTTCTCAGGCCCCTCACCACGCCTAGGTCACAGCAGCTCCCCACCGCACTGTCTGAGCCCTCATCCTGGCTCTGCTTGTGGCTTCTCTGCCCAGCCTGTGCTTTGAGCTGAGCTCCAGTTTGTGGCTGTGGCTGCCAGCTCCACACCGTCATGTAGATGATGCCAACTCTGCCTGTGGCAGAGGCGCAGACCCCAGTGCCCTCTGCTCATCCCTGCTGTGTGCCTGTCTTCCCTGCCTGCTCTTTGTGGGTCACCTAGGCTGTACATGAGAGGGGTAGGGAGTCTGCTGCACGGCATCTCATGGCCCCGGGCATGCACTCACCACATTTGCTGTCCTGGAGCACCTGGCCTGTGCCGCAGGTCCCTGGTCCTTCCAGGGCCTTTGCTGGACGCTGGGCCACCTCGTACTCTGTGCCTGAGATCTGGACATAGAACTGCTGCCGGCTGATAGCCTTCCGCAGGGTCTTGATGGCAGCCTGCAAGCTCTGCTCCGCCCGCTTCCGCAGGCAGTCCTCGTCACAGGCATCTGTGGGAGAGGGCAGGAGAGGAGCTCACATCTGCTGGCAGCTGCCTGCTTTGCAGAGGGCTCTGGATCAGGTCCTGTGTGGTGCGGGGGGCTGTGTGGACCACCTTAGCACATCCTCACAGCAGGCTGGGCCAGCCCCCAGCTGATGGATGAGAAGCCAGGGGTCCAAGAGGCATGAGGCGGTGGAGGCAGACCCTGGGACAAGCCAGGCCTCCGTCCACTGTTATGAGTCACACCCAGGGCATAGCTCATCAGGTGCACGTGTGCATGTGTGTGCGTGTGCGTGTGTGCGTGTGTGTGTGTACGTGATTCAAACACGCTGAGGACTGCCACTTTCCCCAGATCATGTCCTGTTCTCTGGCCTTGAATCCAACCAAGGCACCTTGAGGTCTGACACCCACCCGTTTCAGCCATTGACACCTGGACACTGTGAACTCCACTTTCTAGCGCCCTGCCTGCCTCCCTGCTTCCTGGACACACCCCAGGCTCTGCACCCTCTGTGGCTGCCCACTCCTCAGTGCCACTTCTTCCAGCCAGTGAACCTGGATTTCCAGCTGCAATTCCATGGCCCGTCTCCTGGGAAGGCTTCTGGAGCCCCTCTCTGGGGGAGAGACCTTAGTTCTGTGCCCTCTTGTCCTCATGCCCCCGACCCCCCCCCAGTGTCACTGGGACGGGGTAGCCTCTACACACACCTGCCTCCCTGTGGCTGCTGGTGCTGCCAGGGCAGGGGCCGCAGTGCCCATTTCTAGGGCCAGGCACACACTGAAGACACTTGCTGACACCTCTCAACTCCTCTGTCACAGCCAAGAGTAATGTGTTGTGTTAAACACACAACAGTGTCACAAACCCTTCTGTAAGCAGGAAAGATAGTCCTTCGCTCAACTGTCCTGGTGATGCTATGCATTTACCTTTTCAGCCCCACGGGGAGAGGCGTGCAGCTGTCTCTGTGCCTGGAGCTCTTCTCTTGTCATTGTCCCTGGCTGTGCCATTTCCCTTGCTTGCTTGGCTGGCCTGTGCCTCCTGCTGCCATGGGTCTGGTGGGATCCTGGCTTCACCCTCCCCAGCCCCCAGCAGTTCCCCCAGGGCCTTGGCAGCCCACGAGCAAACCGCTCACCCACCTGAGGCCTCCTCCATCTTCAGCTCCACCTCAAACTCTGCTATGATGTGGGACACCTCCTTGGATGGGGACTTGCGGCCTCGGCGCCTCTTCTTGGAGGAGTCACACTTGAGGGTCACGGAAGTCATGTGAGAGTTGTCTGGACAATGGAGGGGGAACTGTGGCAAAGGTGGCCCGGGCGGGAAACAGGGTCCTACCTGGCCCTGCACAGAGACTGCCACTGGCAAGGGTCCCTCTGTGCCCAAAAGACCATGGAGCAGGTGGGGAAACTGAGGCTAGAGAAGGTCAGGGGTGGTTCAGGGCCTCATGTGGAGCTGGTGGCTGAGCTAGGTCATGGGCTGCTCATGAGGTTGCTGAAGGCATATTCATGAAGGAGGCTGTGCCCTCAGCCCAGGGCCTGCAGAGGTTTTGCCCAGTGGAGACACCATCCCCCTTTCCCTCCACAGCTAAGCCTGGAGTCTCATTGGCCAACCTCATTCAAGAATGGTCACCAAGTGAGTGTCCTAATTCCTTTCCCTGGGGCACAACCAGGCCACATGGCAAGCCCTTGCTGTGTGGTCATTGAACCCTGGGGGCAGGGACAGTGGCCCCCATGGACACGGGGTGTTACACTTCAGATTTAGATGTCCCACCAAAGCCTCATGCACACATAGGCAGGGCTTTCTGAGCTGACTCGCTGATGGAGGTGGGGTCTGGTTAGACGAGGTGGTCCCCGGGGGACGTGGCCTGGGAGGTTTATCGCCCTCTTCCCTCCTCCCTCTGCTCTCTGCTTCCTGGGCACCATGCTGTGAGCAGCTCTCCTCCACCAGGCCTCTCTGCCACGCTCCCTGCCTTGGAGCCAGCTGACTGTGTAGAGATTAAGGCCTCTGTACACTGGGCACCAAAATAAACCTCTCCTCTTTAAACTGGGGGTGTTGGGCTTGTGTCTCAGGGACAAGGAAATAGACTAAGATCCTGGGGCACCCCGGTTTCCTACTCAAGTGCTGGCTTTCTTCCCAAGAGACCTGGCCAGCATCTGTAGCGCCCCAGGCATGGCTCCTTGGGCTATGGCCCCGTCCTTAGAAACCCAGCCCCACTGGACCATGGGGTCCAGCTCCAGGCTTGGGGACTCCCCACTCCTCCTTGGTAGGCAGTGCAGGGTGGTACACTCACCCAGCAATGGCTGCCTCTGGGTCTCCTTCGCTCTCTCCCGACTGCGGGGCCGGAGGTGGCACTTAGCATCTCTGGTCTTGAAGCGAGCCTTCTGCTTGATGGGGGAAGTGGGGGAATCTAGGAAAAGTCAGAATTCCCCCAGGTGGTGGCCTCTCCTGAGGGGAAGGAGGTGGTGGGGAATGGGGGCTCCCAGAGGACAAGTTCCCCTGAGCTGGGGCTTGGTGCGGGCCTCTCTGCCCTGACAGCCCTCCCTGCTGGGGAACCTCCCCTGTGTGCAAGGCTGCAGAAGGTGACCACATGGGCCCTGGGTCCAGCCAGAGGCTCTCTGCAAAAGAGGAGAGGAATGCTGCCCACCTCCTGCCTCACTGGCAAAGCCGTAGACATGGGTCAGGCTTTTAGGAAGAGAAGCAGAAGCAAGGAAGGGGTCTGAAATATCTGGACACCCAGAACCCTAGGTTCCTACAAAGTCCTGTGACCGGTGGACTTCGAATCACATCCTGTGACTTCAGCAGCAAGGACACAGCCTGGCCCTGAGCTGGCAGGAGGCGAGCATGCTGTGCCTGGGAATCTCCAGGTCAGGGGTTCAAGGGCAGCTCTGCCTCAGAGCTCTCAGAGCCTCACCATGCAGCAGAGGTGACACATGACACATGCCCTGAAACAGAGCCTGAGGTCTGTGGACTCACAGCATTGTGGGGCCACCAAACCCCTTTGTTCCCCTGACCGCAGAGTCCGAATGGTCCTGTGGCCCACTGTGCTGGGAGGGGACTCAGGTTGTAGCCTCCTGGCTTCCAGGGCCTGGCCCTGCCTTGTCTCTAGGATCCCAGAACATGCTGGCTCCTGACCTGAATCTTCCCTGGCTGTGCCCCTCCACCCTCCCAACATGTCACTGCACACAAAGCCAGGAGCCCACCCAAGCGTGTGTGGCATGGACAGGCCAGGGGCTACCTGAGCAGCTGGGCCCGGTGCCAGAGCTGGTGCCATTGTGCTTTGGTTGAGTCCTGCCCTGGAGACCTGGAACACCGCAGCTCAGGACGTAGCTGTTTTCCGAGTCTGAAGAGAGGCCAGTGGGTGAGGTAGGCCTGGGCGTACCTCCCTTCCAGGACCCCAGATTCTCAAGGCCTCTGAGTGGTTGCTGAATGAGATGAAGGTCAGGACTGACCCCTCTGTTAGCCTGTTTCTGCCACATGCCCACATGTGGCTGGGCAGGGAGGAGCCCAGACCCCAAAGAGCCAGGGAGCTCCCCAGGAGGACTTGGGTACCAGGGCCTTTGTTTCTAGGTCAGGCTCTTTCCTGGGAGCAGCAGGGAGCTGGGACCCCAGGGAAGAAGCTCCCCAACATGCCCCATCCCTGGGACATCCTGGGGTTACCTGGCACGAAGAGGGTGTGGGCCAGGCAGGAAAGGAAGCAGCTTTCCACACTGCCCACCTTGCTGCAGGACAGCTGGGCCTGTGCGGTGGCCTGGGCCCGAGAGAGGCACTTGCCGGGCTCTGAGGAGAAGGAAGGCAGAGAGTGTGGCCAGGGCTGCAGGCCACTAAGCAGGGCCACAAAGAACTCCTACACCTTCCCTGCCAGGGCCAGACAGACTTGAGGGAGATGCCAGGGGCCAGGTCCAGTTGGCAGTGGGGGACACGGTCAGACAGCTGGCCTGCTCCCTCTCCCCTCAGACGCTTGCCCCGCTGTCTGTGAGGAGGCTCAGGTTGTCCCCACCTGGGAGCCTCCCCAGGGAAAGGGCAGAGTCCCCTGAGCAGGTAACCCTGCCCATCTGGGGGAAAAGGACAGCAGCAAATGGACAGGAGCCTCCTGGTGGAGACCCAACCCTGAGGTGTGGACCAGAGAGGCCTTTGGGTGTCTGAAGGTGAGACAGCTTTTTAGGACACCTCATGTATTTGACTTTAGAAGATGGAAAATGTCTGCAGACTCCCAGGGAAAAGACTACAGTTTCATGGCCACGGTAAACACCAGAGCTGATTTGTTGGCCCCTGGGTCACTCAGAGAGGCAGCTCATCAGAGCCCCTTATACTAGGCCAAGTTAGTCAACAAGGGAGGGGACCCCTCCAGTGAGGGGCTGCCAGGCTCCATCAGTTCCTCTGCGGCTGGCTCAGGCACTTTTAGGACACTGGGCCTCTGGTCTCCACATTCCTCAGAGAGAGCTCAGCTCTCCCAGAAGCTACCACCTCAGCTTTCCGGTTTACAGTGCTGACCAGCGATTCCCTTGGCTCCTCCAACATGGGCTCAGAACACTCTTGCTTCCCCGCAGATGACTGCCCTTGAGAGATGTGGGGGTGTGGCTCAGCAAAGAATGAACCCCGATCCCTGGTGCCTTACTGAGCGCTCATGTTTGCTGGTGTTGATGACAGATTGTTTCCCCCAATGCTGGGGATTGAACCCACGGAGCGACACCTCTAGTCCCCAGCAGATCTCTGATTGGGGATTAGTCCGTTTGGCCTGGGTGCTACTGTCTGCCCTGCTCACTTTGCTGTTTCTCTCGCTCTCATTTGACTCTCGTGTGGTTTTATCCCAAGTGCTTGGTGTTCCCCTGACTGGTCCCGTGCTGCAGGGAGGCGTGGAGACACCAGCCCTGAACACTTCCTGCCCTATCCAATGTAGCCCCAAGGATGCAGTGGGACGTGGATTCCCTACTGAGGACCAGGGGACCTTCCCCGAGTCCCTGACGAAGCGCTCATGAAGACTGCCCTGTTCTGCCAAGAAGCCAGAGTGGCCACTCCACTTTGTCCGAGGTTGGGGAACAGCAGGCAGTCATGGATCACATGGCCCTTCTGCCTCTGTTTGGCTGGGGAAACTGGGTCACTGCTCTAAGCACATGCTTTTGACCACGGTGAGGACTGAGGCTTTTTTATGCCAAAGCTGGAAAGGTCCTGGCTGAGCTCCTGCATCCTTGTGGATTCAGACTGTAACCCTAACTCTTGGGCTTGGCTGCTACAGGGCAAACTGCCCCTTTCCGCCTGCCACAGAACCCAAACCACTACCACTAGTAACAACCACTTAGAATAACATGGATCATTACGGGTGCTTTGGATGGTCAAAATTTATAAACTAGTATGCTAAAGAAGAGCTCTACACAGTTAGGAGATGGGAGTGCTGGCTATTCATAGCTGGCTTCCATCACTGGTGTGCCTTTGTCTCAGATTCCTCCTTGCCAAGTCTTCTGAACCCACCATCCTGCAGCTCTCTCATCCCCCAGCTCCACCTCTACCAGCCCTTTGCAGCCCCCCAAGCCCTGCTTCAGCCCTGACCTTAGGAAGCACCTCCTTCCTCGGGGTAGCTCAGGACAGGAAAAACCACACTGTGTGGAATTCCATTAAAACTGCTTGCCGAGAACGTGGGTCATGCACGTTGAATTTGAAGCCTGGTCTAGAGCCAAGCCAAGTGCTGTAAAGGGCTAAATTCAGTTTTCCTAAACTGCAGCAGCTGGACAAGCATTTGCTTCAGGTTTCAGGATTTCACTGGATAATCATTGTCCTGGGTGACCGTGTCTGTATCGATGAGCTCACTTCATTGTTAGGATCTTGGAGTGGAAAAAAAAATGAAAAGTGGCAGACAGTAAAGACCAGGAGAAGATCTGAACACCAATCCAAGCATAATTTAGGAAAACGGTCTTAAGAGAACAAGGAAAAACAGAACTATAGTACCCAAGGCCAGTTCAGAAGCATTTCCTGAGGAAAACAATTGGATAAAGATTCAAAATTGTGTGACCTGAACAAATAAGATTCACTTGGTGACTTTAAACATAGAATTTATACTGCAATCAATCAACATTTTTGAAGAGACCCAAAAGCAAAATATGTAAAGGGAGTCTTGTCTTTTTGTAGGTATGCTTGAAAGAGACTTGGAAAAATAAATTGGAATGAAAGAATGGCAGTTTAAACAATCTTTAACACATGCCTGAATGTTTTCAAGGAGTCTGAGAAAGTGAATAATTTAGAAACAAACAAAAAAACTTCATGGTCCTCCAGATGAAAATATCCGGCCCCCAGTAAGTGCAGAACCCAAAGTCCTCTGTTCCCAGAGACCCCCGAGCCCAGGGATGAGGACGCTTGTGGGTACAGCGAGTTTCTGAGGGAACTTCGTCCCCAGCATCGCCTGATGGTTCCTGTGAAGGCCCTTCCCCGGGGGCGCTGTCCCCAAGTCCCTGTGCATCCTGTGGGGCTCTGATGCCTTTCCCAGGGCCACTTCTCAGCTCATGTGTGTACTCAGAAGCTGTGGGGGATGAGTCACATCCCTAGACAAAGAGCCAGCTGGCTTCTGTTCACCGTAAGAGCTGTGCCCCACCTTGGCTTGGGATTCGAGTCTCTGCCTGGGCAGCACCTGCTGCAGTCACTGCAATGGCACTTGGGTGGTTTGAGGACCTGCTACTGCTCCTGTGCTGCTAGCAAGCAGCCCCTGCCTCTGGGCTGAACTCAGGACAGGAAAAGCACACTGCACAGAATTCCAGTGAGACTTCCCGGAAACGTCACCATGCTGAGTGTAAGCCTGGTCTACAGCCAAGGCAGGGCTCTAAAGGGCTAACTTCAGTTTTCCTAAATGGCTCGTGCATAGTAAAGTCCATTGTCCCTACCCAGGAGGCCCGTGGCTTCTGTTGCACCCTGGTGAGTAGGGAGAAGCCTGAGATCCAGAGTCCGTCAATACCGATCACTCCTCGCCTCTCACCCGATCACAGCCAGTCCCTCCGAGGAGCCCAGAGGAGCTGGAAGTGAGAAGGAAGGAAAAACGGGGAAAGGGCTTCAACCTTGGAGCAGGACGCCTGCTTGCGTGAACACTGTGAAGGGATGTTTGCGAGCACGTGTGAAGAGATGTGTGTGATCGTGTGTGGAGGAATGTGTGTGAGCACATGGGACATACGTGAGCATGTGAGACATGTGGGATGTGACAGTACATGCGAGGGGTGTGTATGTGTGAGGGGACATATGTGTGAGGCAAACATGACTGATCAAGCATGATCAGGGGATTTGGGGCATCGGGGGGCCCCTGGGGTTGGGCCCTTGCTAACCAGCTCAGTGCTCCTGGTTCCAGTCCATCATCATTCCTCTGGACTTTGTCCCCAAAAAGAGCTCCCGTTGCCTGGGACAGAGGCTTCACAACTGGGGTGGGTGGGGAGCCTCTACTCTGCCACTAGACTGCAGGTAAAATACACAGGAGAGGGTTATTTTTAGAAGTCTCAGAAAACTCTCTTCCACATGATTTGAATTATAGCTAAGGGAACCTTAACATGCCTGCACTACATAGGATTCAGAAACAGACTCTCTGGGGCAAAGGCTCCTACAGCATCAGCAGAACGGCTGGCAAAGAGCCAGGTAAAGGTCCATGCTGAGTGCTCCCAGATCGCCACAAGCTCTTTCGAGTGAACGCGCCAAGGTCAGGCCTGGTTCCTAGGGTCTGAACACCACAACCTGGAGACATCAGCAGCCTGCATGCTTCCTGGACCCAGCCGCAAGTGCGTGTTCTTCCGCCTCGGTGCAGGCCTGCTGCAGTTAGCTGAACCATCTTTAGATCTTGAACTAGAATTACCCTTCAGTCTCAGGGTACCACTCACAGTATGATCTGCACTGTGAACTAAAACACCTAATATTAAGCCAGGCATGGTGGTGCACATCTGTAATCCCACCTGCCTGGGAGGCTGAGGCAGGAGGATTGCAAGTTGGAGGCCAGCCTGGGCAACTAAGTTAAGACTTTGTCTCAAAATAAAACAAAGAGGGCTGGGATGTAGCCTGGTGGTCACTTCTCTAGCACATGTGGGTGCTGAGTTTAATCCCCAGGACTGCAAAAACCAAAACCAAAGCCAAAATGCTCTGTATTTTTCCTGCTTGTCATTGACTAATTATAGTGTCTGGTTATTTTCTTCTTTTCAGCTTCACTTTGGGTAACTCTCCTATCCTTTCTGGAAGGCAAAGCTCAACCTGGGTCTTGGTACTTTAGAAAAGCTCATGTCTGGAACAAGCCGTTTGAATGCTCCATGACAAGTCCCACTTAGTACTGTTTATTACTTATCACAGGAATGAACAGATCCTAAGATTCATAAAGAAATTCAAGGAAAAGTTTAGCAACAGCCAAACTAACCTTGAACATGAAATCCAAAGCTGGAGGACTCATAGTTCTGACTTAAAAGATTTAGTATAATGCTATAAGAATCCAGATGTGAGTATCAGTGTAAGAGCAGGCAAAGGTATCAAGGGGACAGAACTGGGAATCCAAAAGTAAACCCACTCATTTATGGTCAATTGATCTGGATGAGGATACCCAGACAATTTAACAGGGGAAACAAATGGTCCTTCCAACAAATGATGCTATGACGACTGGTTAGCCACATGCAAAAACCCCACAAAAACCAGTTGGACCCTATCTCATATCATATAGAAAATTACCTCAAAATAAAGCCTAAACATAAGACCTAAAGTTATAAAGCTCTTGGATACCAAGGTAATAATCTCTGGGACCTTGGGTTAGGCAGTAGTTTCTCAGAAATGACATAAAAAACAAAAGCAACCAAAGAAAAACTGATAAATTGGAGTTCATGAAAATTCAAAACTTGTATATGTGCTGCCAAAGCAACCACAAAATTCAAGACTTTTGGAGTACAAAGGACACCATCAAGAAAGTGAAGACTCACAGAATGGGAACAAATCTTTGCAAATACGTCTAAAAAGGGATTTGTATCAGGACTGCTGTGGTTTGGATTTTAAATGTCTCTCAAAGGCTTCTGTGTTGAAGGCTTGGTCTCCAGCTGGTGGCAATATCGGGAGGTGGTTGAGCCTTTGGGAAGTGGGGCCTAGTAGGAGAAAGTGAGGTTGTTGGGGGTGTGGCCTGGAAGCGGATCTTGGGACCTCAGCTGCTTCCTGCGGCTTCCTGTTTCCCAACATGCTCCACTACATGCTCCCTGCTAGGATGCACTGCCTGGCTACAGATCCCCAGACAATGAAGCCAACTGACCATGGACTGAAACCTCTGAAACCAGTGAGCTGGAAAACAATTTCTGAGCAAAAGTTTTTCGTGTGGCTAGTTGACCTGACAAAGAGCCATCCCCAGCCCAAACCTCCTCCCACACCCAACACATGTCCTCCTTCATTGTGTTTTGTTCTCAGGAAGTGTCTGTATCCAGTGTACTTTTCTATCAAATCTTATAAACTAAATGTAACTTCCTAAATGCCTTAAACTGATGATAAATGCCTCGCTTCTGTATTCCCACCCCCCTTCCCTTAACCCATATTAAACCCTGTTCACTGCTAGCTCTGGGGTGATGGCTTTGTGGAGAAGTCCCCAATCAGTCCGCGGTGTAATAAAGTTGCCTCTCATCTCTGGGTGTGTTCTCGATTCTTCTTGGCCGTATCTTGCTATACCACTAAGAGCTGCCACATTGTGGACTGTGTCTGCTGCTACACTGGGAGACAAAATAAATCCTTCCTCCTTTTGTTTATCTCAGGTATTTTGTTACAATGACAGAGGGCTGACTAATGGAGAGAAGACACAAAGAAATCTTACAGTTAAGCAGTGAAGACAAATAACCTAATTACAAAAGGGCAAAGGATCTGAACAAATATTTCTCCAAATAACACAGACAGATGGACAATAAACACATGAAAAGATACTCAGCATCAGGAAAATACAAATCAGAACCACAGCCGGGGATTTAGCTCAGTGGTTCTGCCACCTGCCTCGCAAGCGCAAGGACCAGAGTTCGATCTCCGGTACCAAAAAAAATAGAATCACAAATCAGAACCACAACAAGATACCATTTCACATCCACTAGATGGCTATAGTGAAAAAGAGGTCAGGTGTGGTGGCATATACTTGTTATCCCAGCACTCTGGGAGGCTGAGGCAGGATATTGTAAATTTGAGATTAGCCTGGCCAACTTGGTGACTTAGTGAGACCTTGTCTCAAAATTTTAAAAAAAGGGCTGGGGATGTAATTCAATGATAAGGCCCTGGGTTCAATCCCCAGTAATGCAAAAAAAAAAAAAAAAGTCAGAAACAAGTGTTCCAGTGTTGGTGAAGATGTGGAGAAATCGCAACCCTCCCACATTGGGTGGCAAGGATGTAAAATAGTGCAGCCATTTAGGAAAGCAGTTTTTCAGTACCTTAAAAGTCAAACATGGAGTTACCTGTGGCCCAGCAAGTCCACCGGTAGGTATACCCAAGAGAATTGAAAACGTGTCCACAAAGAAATGGGGACAAAGGCTTACACTGGAATTATCTGTGATGGCCAAATAGTGGGAATAGCATAACCATCCATCAGCTGGTGACTAGTTAAAGGAGACATGGTCTATACAAATGAAAGAGAACTTGTCAATAAAAAGGGATGAAATAATGATACATGATTCAATATGGGTAAACTCTAAAAACACAATGCCAAATGAAATAAACCAGTCAAAAATATTTTACATAATTACATTACCATGAAATGTCCAGGAGGGGCAAATCCAGACACAAAATTACTAGAAGTGTAATTTACTAGGGAAAGTGGGAAGTAATTCTTATGGACACAGGGTTTCTTTCTGGAGAAATGAAAATGGTCTAAAACTGACCATGGATGCATAGCCTGAGTATATTAAACCCCACTGAACCACACACTTTAAATCCTATGGGTGAATGGTTTGGCAAGTGAACTACTCTCAGTAAAGCTGTTAATAACAACCACAGTGAAACAAAAGGAAGAAGGGAAGTATGAGGTGGAATGTGCAGGAATCATCCAGTTTGGAATCAAGTTCTAAGGGACCCAAATTGGCTCTGGTCGCCCAACTATGGCTCTCTCTAGGGGATGTTATATTGAAAAAAATAAAAGGTTAAATATTTACAGGAAGCTGAAAAGCTTCTGCAGTATGGTGGGACTTTGCAATGCTATGAAAACAGCATAGCATTGACTGCCGGTAACTGAAGTAGAAGAGTTTGAAGTTAGAGGAACCGGCTTCTTGGGTCATTATGTTAACCAGGCTGCTGATCCTTCAGTCCTTTGGTGAGGACCTTTTATAGTACAGAGAGACCCATCCTTGGAGAGGGTCAAGGGTTCCATCCAGGCCCACTGTAACCTGGCTTCTGTTCTGAAAAGCAGCAACAGGAACAATCAGAAGACCCAGAAGGGTGCTAGCTGATGAGGCCAGGCCACCCTGGTACGCTGAACCACCTCATAAGACACCTGCTAACGTCGCCCCAAGACATCCCAGCACCCAGTGGGGACAGACTGGCTGAGCTGCTAGACAGGGCTGGTGAGGAGCTTTTCTCCAGGCAGCAGAGGAAAGACTGGCTCATGACCATCCTGTGACCCACACAATCCTGGGTAAGCTGGGAAGACAGCCTGGAACCAGATGCTGAGACAGCACTGGGCCTCTCCAGTTGGACTCTGTGAGCCTAAGTTAAGTATTGGTAATAGTTGTTTATTTTCTGGAATTGTTGAAGCAGCCTCTCCTGGAAAAAATAACAGCACTCACAGGGGGTAAATATTAGATGTTATGTTCCTCATTTGGGATGTTCCAACTTACTCATTTCATAATATGCAGACACAGTTTATTGGAGAGTTATTCATAAATGACTCAGAAATGCCACTGTCTTTATCACCTGTACTTTTGGAAGACTAGCTATGATCTTTCTGGCACTGTGAAGTCATCATCTAAAGGTCTTTACTGAGGCTTTCAGAGAACTTCTGTTCTGGTTTATATCCCGATGTCCCCAATGCCTCATGGGTTCATAGGTGGCGCTTTGGGAGGTGATGGGATCATGGGGGTGTGACATTCACCAGCAGATTAGCCCACAGATGAGTTCAGAGCTAAATGTGAGGCTGGGAGTGAAGCCTGGTGGGAGGAGATGGGTCACTGGGGGCGTGGCCCGGAAAGGTCTATCTCCTTCCCTTCTTCCTTGATCTCTAAGAGGCACTGGTGCCCCTACCGTGGGGCTAGCGTTGGCCAGACACCGGGCTCCTCCGCCCCGGGCCCAGGCGCTGCATCTGCTGCACCCCGTTTCCCCACCCCTGTTCCCCACAACTCCCTGGGCAGCACAAGGGAGGCTGGGGGAGGCAGGGCCTCCACATCCACCTCCGAGTTGTCCTCTGAGACCCGGGCAGGGTATCGTGACACCAGGCTCCTCTCCTGTAAGTCCCTGTACCACCTGCCACGCCCCTCACCTCCACCAACGAAGTCACTGCCCCGCCCCAGGAAGGGGCGGAGCCAGCAGCGTGCCCCCTCCCCACTCACCCACGCAGTCTTTCCGGTTCCAGTGCAGGCGCCTGCCCGGCAGGCACACGCATTCGTAGCTGCCTTTGGTGTTGACGCAGCCCTGGTCGCAGTGCCCGTTGCTTATGCTGCACTCGTCCACATCTGGAAGCAGAAGCCCGAGTGAGGAGAGGAGGGAGGCTGGACCGCTCCGGGGCCACACCCAGGGCTGGCAGGGCCCGGACCCGACCCAGCCTGATACCACCGTGGGACACAGACGTGCCACACGCGCACACAGGGGTGCAGGGCTCCTCACAGACCCCAAATGCACCCCTTCTCCAGGGAACCCAGGAGAAGAACCCTTTGGGCCCATAGGCCCAGGGGCCCTGAGGCCTGATCTCACCGGGGGTTCCACGCAAGCCCCTTTCCCGCCTCAGTTTCCCCTCCTGTGAGTAGGTAGGCGATAGGATGAAGGGAGCCACCTCTGAGCCCTTCCTCTTCTGGCCAGGAGCAGGAGCCCTGGATGAGCCCCAAGACACTCAGGGCCCTGTGAAGCAGGGAGGCGGGGGCTAGGAAGCGTGCAGGGATACCCCCGGAAGAGTGCACCCATGTCCAGGAGCCCCCAGCTTCATATTTTCTGCCAGTGCGTGACACAGAAGGTGACAAGAGCCAGACGGCCACCAGTTCCCACCTGCACTGCCCATGCTGGGACAGCACCAAGCCCCAGAGCTCAGCTCTGCCCTGAACACACCCAGAACCTTGCACTCTGCCCCAGGGCCAGATCCAGGGGTGCAGCTCCCTTTCCGGGCTCCCCATGGGTACCCTGGGTCACTCTGTCCCACAGAGCAGCAGAGCACCCTGTTCAGACCCTCAGGCTTTCTCAGTAGTGGGGAACAGACCTCAGGGCCCCCTGGGTTCCGGAGCCGCTGCACGGCCCTGTCCGCATCTGTACCGTGTCCCTGAGCTCCCAGGCTCCAGCCACACGGTGGCCTTGGTCCCTTATCCATGTGCCTGAGCCTGTGCCCAGCCAGTCCCCCTGGACCGCTTCCCGCCATGACCCACACAGCCTTCTCTGGACACCTTGGTCTCCACCCTGCCCTTACCGGCCCCTAGAAGGACTGTCTGGCGCTTTCTGTGTCCCCAAGCTGGCACGCACAGATGCCTGCTGTCCCCTCCTCCTGTGCCATGCCTCCCTGTCCTCTGTCTTCCCCTGCCTCGCCCATGGCTGAGCCCCCTGGCCTAGCAGTCCTCTGCCTTCCTGAGGACCCTCCCAGCGCCCCAGCTCATCAAGGTCAGGGTTGGTGTATGAGTGCAGTGTAGGGGCCGTGTGGGCGGGCGCGTGCCTCGAGGGGGAGGTGGCCCTGGCGGGCGGGCTGCAGACCTCCGCAGTGGGTCGTCCCGTAGAGCGTGTAGCCGCGGTGACACAGGCACTGGAAGCTCCCGGGGGAGTTGATGCAGACGTGGTCGCAGGTCCGCTCGAAGGAGCACTCGTTGATGTCTGCGGGGCCGCAGGGGACAGAGTCGGGGAGGAGCTTCAGGGCACACTGGCGGCACGGCCTGTCACTCCCAGTTACCCAGGGCACACCCGTGTGTGGACAGTCCCTGGGCCCTGAGACTCGGGACAGTCAACCCACGGTAAGTGTCGCGGTTCCTGTGGCTGCTGCTCTATCTTCCATTTTCCTCCACTAACTCTGCCTCTGGATTAGAAGCCGCCTCACGCCTCTCCTGGAGGTGAGCAGGGTAGAAAGATTTGGAACAGAAGGGATTATTGTGAATCTCTGCCACTTTAATGCCTCACACTCAGGTGCAATTAGAAGTGCAGTGAATCCACACCTGCAGGCAGGAAAATGACAGGGATACCCCGGTTCCCTGGGAGCCTGAAGGAAGCCACTAAATGGGGACATGAAGCCAGGCCTCTTGGATCCTGATCAGTGTCCTTTCCCATCACTCCACTGTTTTTTTTGAGAAAATAAGAACACAAATAGGGGGAAAGGGGAATCTGTTAGCCATAAGGCTTAAGAAAGGAGCTCTGATAGGTTGTGACATTAGATTGTGAGCTTCCTGGAAGTCAAGGTAACAAGGGAAAGAGGGACAGCCTCTGATTTCTTGTTATTGGAAAGGAGGAAATGAACCATATTTTATAGAGACAAGTGTGTCCTGGACACAAATTGGGAGGAAAATGGCTGACAGGGGCCTGGGCAGGCAAAGCAGACACCGGCGGTCCAGCAGTGGAGAGTTCACACTTTGAATACATTACCTCATGTTACTCTGACATGGTCACTACACCGCTTGTGTATAAATCACTAACACATGGAAGGGAGTGTGCTCAGGGTGCTCAGAGGGTGGCATCCCTTCTGGGGCAGGGGGCATCTGGGAAGGCCTCCTGGTGCTTAGGGCTAGACCCTGAAGGATGGGGCCAACCTGGGAGAGAGAAAGGGCACCCACGAAAGGGCTGGGAGTGCCCAGGGAACTGTGCCAAGGTCAGGGGGCTGGGGAGGGCCAGGGGTCCCCAGGCCCAGAGCACCAAGTGCCAAAGGAGGTTGGAGCCCTGGCTGCCAGGTGCGGGGAGCCCAGGGCTCCAGGGCCTCAGAGAGAACAGCCAGGAAGAGGGCGGAGACACGGGTGGGGGTTGGTGAGGACAGAGCCAGGATGCCCTCTGAGGGCTGAGGGGGGTGACTGGCAGGGCCCCGCGGTGACCTCCTGGGCAGCCCCTAGCACACGGGGCCTAGCTGCCCAGCCTCTGAGCTGTAGCCCCAGAGTCAGATCTGGCCACGTGTAGCTTTAATTATGGGAGCCCCACGGGGACAGAAACACCAGGCTGCACCCTGCCGGTGTGAGGGGAAATGGAGTCCCTCCCGCACCGTCCCTTTGGGCTCTCTTCCAAAGCTAGTCCTGTGGGGACGGTGCCATCGCCTGTGAACCCCTCTCCACAGGCCATCCTCGAGATTCGAGACTTTTCCTGGACTGGATTCCTGGCGTGTGCCCAGCCCTCTCCTTCCACCATCCTTATTCCTAGCAGGCACCCAGGGACCCTGAGGGACTGTGGGAGGTGCCTGCAGTGTGCAATGCCCTCCACTAGGTGGCAGCACCCTTTTGGAGCTGTAGCTGTCTGGGTTCTGCAGAAGCGGAAGGAGGGGAGGGTTCCAGATGGATCCTTCCCTGGGCCAGTTTCTCACCTATGAAGGGGACAGGTTGTACTAGATGGCTCCTAGAGTCATAAAGGACAAACAAAGGACAAGGCGGGAGCGCATGCCAAATGGCAGAAGCACACCCATTCCTGCAGCCTCCCCACCTCCTCTCCTACCGGAAGTGACCTAGGCCACGAGGGGATCCCACGAGGGCAGCCCAGGCTCACCTTGGCACGTGCGCTCATCCGTCAGCAGCTTGTAGCCCTTGCGGCAGCTGCACTCGAAGCTGCCCACAGTGTTGCGGCAGAAGTGGTCGCAGCCGCCGTTGTTGACCAGACACTCATTGATGTCTGCGGGGTGGGGGGTGGGCAAGGGTGTGAGCTCAGGAACCCAGGAGGGGGCAGCGGGGATCCCACCATCCTCCACTCTGTCCTGGCCTGCCTGCCACCCAGGGGCCAGGGCTGGCCCCAGGTCCCCAGCTGAGCACAGGGCTGAGGCCTAGCTCATGAGGTTGGGAGTTGGGGCCTGGGGCGTTAGAGTCATGTCCCAGAAAAGGGCACTGATCCCCCTATGTCAGAGAGACGGTGGGGACATCCAGGGAGGCAGCCTCCAGGCAGAGAGGCTGGAGCAGGGTCCACTTGAGCCCTGGGAACAAGCTACTGCCCACCCCCAAAAGAAGGGTAAGAAGTGTCTCCACCATGCAGGAGGACATCGCCAGGATTACTAGGGTGCTGGTGCTTTAGCCCGCAGGACACCTTTTAGAAAGTAGCTCTCATTGCCTGTTTGATGAAGAAGCCTGGGCTCAGAGAGGTAAAGTTCCTGGTTCAGGAGGTGTCAGCTCAACTGCCCACTATTCCGCCCCAGTCCCTACCTGTTCAGCTGGTTCTACAATCAGGCATTAATGAGGGGCAGCTGTATCCTGAGGTCCCTTGGCCCAATCCCTTGTCATCCACGGGGCCCTTCCTAAGCAACACAGCATACACCTCTCCTGACAGAGTGCTTCTTCTCTCACACAGTGGGCAGCTGGCTGACACTTCCAGGATACCTTTGTCACCTGATCACAGGCTGACCCCTGCGAGTCCCTCTTCCGGCTCCCTCCCCTCATCCCGCTTCTCTGGGCCCCAGGCCAGCCTGGCATCTATGCCATCAGAGGCCCCAGGGGACGTGAAGTTTGTCTTAAGTCCTGACCTCCCCTTGCAGATAGAACCTTGCAGGAAGTGATGAAAGTGAGAGGTAACTTTCAGGATGGACTTGGCCTGATTCAGAGGGGTGTAAAGGATGTGACGGAAGATGGAGAGACCTCCTCCCTGCTAGCCCCACTGAAGTCACTTGCACTACGATGGTGATTCTGACCTCACCCAGGCCACTCACTGCTTTGTCACAAGCCCAGTAGGAGATGGGATGGCGGCCCTGATGTCCTGGAGCAGTGTTCCCATGCAGTGTCCCCACCAACCCGTCCTAACCACACCTAGACGCCAGGTATGGAGATCAGGGGACCGGGGGATACAGAGGGTGAGCCAAGGTGCCTCTCAGGCCTTCCGGGAGCCCCGGGTTGTAGTGTGAAGCCCTCCCTCATGGTCTCCTGGGAGCTCTGTGTCACAGATGGAGTCTCAGGGCCAAGTGCAAGAGCAGACCTCAGCCAGCATCTCCCTAGGACCCCTACTGGCCCCGAGGCCACCAGAGAAGCATAAAGTCCACTGAAGCCAGGTCCAGGGAGAGCTCAGGCATGACCAGTTCCCTCCTGTCCAGCCTGGGGATCACAGGAAGAGGGGGAAGTTTCTAGGTCGAAGCTGCACGCAGGAGAGCAGCTGCCCATCTCAGGGCCTTGTCACCTGTGACCTTGGCCAGGGGGAGGGACCTCTTAGGCCCCAAACTTCCACCTACAAACTGGGCTGCCAGCCAGTGTCTCCTCTAGCAAAGTTGGCAAGATTAAATGAGCTGACACGCTAAGCTGGCAGGGACTGCCCAGGAGTATACTCAGCCCCAGGAACGCTTAGGCCTTCAGAACCACCCACCCCTTCCCCATCTGAGCCTGGGGCAAAGGGCTGCCGTAGCAGCCAGACTTTGGAGGAAAGCATGTTTATTAGTGGCCCAGGCTGGTGTGGTAGTGAGGAAACCCCTCCTCCTCTCTACTTCAGGGTGCAGAAGGGGTGCTGGGCTCATATGGTCCTTCAACCTCCCGTGAGCCCCTGGGGGTGCAACTTCTGCTCTCCTTGTGCACCCCTCATGTCCCACCCACCCTCCAAGGGGCAGCCAGCATCACCAGCCACAGCCAATCCATGGTGTGCCCTACCTACCAGCAGGTTGCTGAGGTCCCCCCGCCTCCCAGGATCAAGGCCCAGCCCCTTGGCAGAGGCTCACAGCCTGGGCTCCTGCCACCCCACCCTCACCTGCTCACTCTGTACCAGGGCCCACCCTGCCACTGGGGTAGCTCTCCTCTGGGAAGCCTTCTTGACTAGTCACAGAGGGCCTCAGGGACAACAGAGGGGTGTCTGTTCCTTCCCGGCACCCCAGGACCTAGCAGGAGTGAATGTGCAGCAAAGACAGACAGTAAGTCGAGGTGGCCCCAGTCTATGGAAGGCACCTGGGCCCCAGAGGAGGGGACCTGGGCCATGGAGGGGAACATTCATGTGCACTGCCTGGGGTGGAGCTCGGGCTGTGTGTATGGGGTGTTAGGGGGTGGAGTGAGCCCCAGGCATGCACAGGACCACCGAGCCTCTTTGGCATCCAGGGCACGGCTTGGCAACCTGCCGCCCTGTGGGTGAAGGCTTTGGGGTGGGAGCTCAGGGAGGGCAAGGGGCGTGGCTGGCATCCCTCTGTGGCACTGGGGAGGTCAGGTGGAGGGCAGGCGAGGGCACCTTCATGCCAGGTAGATAAAAGCCCTGGTAGGGGGGCTTCCTGGCCCAGGATCCTGGGGAGAGGCAGGGTGGGGGTTCTCCCAGGGGGTTCTTTGAGGTGTTAGAGAAGGGGCTGTTGTTCCTGAGGGAAAGGCAGGCTCCAGCTCAGGAAGCCCATCCTCTTGCAAGATGTCCTCCTCCCCACAGCAAGCAGGACCACCCCAAACAGGAAGCTGAGACTGCACCCCGCCAGTCCATGCTCCTGAACAACCTTCCTGCCCCCAGGCCCCATGATGAGGCAAGATACCCACCTCCCTTTTTTGCCTCCACCTGCCCTTTGATCCTGATGCTCAGGGCTTCAGGCTCTGGGCCTTCCAAACCCTCTGTTACCCTTGCCCCTCCAGCCACCTGTTTTGCCTGCCAATGACTTTATGGCTTCCAGAGAACCCTGAACCTTTGAAGTCACCCCTTTGAAATCCTGCCTGGAGCCTCACCAGGGCTGAAGTGTGGGCCCTCACTGGAGACCAACCCCGAGGCCAGGGCCTCGGGTCACTGGGAATCCCCAGCTGGCCTTGCCCCAGCCAAGGCCCCAGCCCTGTGGGCGCCTCTCCAGCCAGAGCTGGGGAGCCCTGAAGACACCCACCCCAGGGTCTGGAGTGGCTCCTGACTTGAAGACATCATAAATGTTAATCAGCCCTAGGTAGGTCCTGAGACCCTCCAGTTCTAGCACCCCTGGAGAGATCTCGACTCAGCTTTTTCTACCGCTACCCGGCCCAAACAGTGTCATCTTTGTCACACAGGGGCTGAAGGCCTTCTCTACTGGAGGGGGCCAGACACCCGAGGCTAGGGAGTGAGGGCCCCCAGGGGTTTGCCAGAGGCTGGGCCTGGGTGGCCTGGTTACAGGCTCGACTGTTTCAAGAAGTGCCATGGGAGTTGGGCCTGGGAATCTCCTCCACAGCTCAGAAATGGAGTTGGGGATGAGTGCCTCTTGGATACTGGGGTGGGGGCCGGAGGCAGAAGCAGGAGCCCCTCTCCCAGCTGCCCCTCCTGGGCCAGATGATGCCCAGGCCCTTTCTTGCCCAGACAGTTGGGTCCTGGAGGGGAGCTCTGGCCTCTAAACCCCCATTCCTGCTGCCCTCGCCTCCCTCAGGGTTCAGCCCAGCCCTGCCCTTCTGCCCGGGTCAGCCTGCCTCTGAGCCAGTGGTGAGGCCCAGATCCTGAGGAGGCATGAGGAGGCTTTGGGTGACATCACTGTGCTGTGAGGGTCCCTTGCAAGTCACTCCTGGCACCAGGTCCTTGTGGTGAGGACTACTAGCACTTGTGGTGCTACTTGTCTGCCCGCGCCTGCCAGGGAGACATCAGGGAATTGACGGCCAGAGTGGTGGCCTTGGAGGGTTTTATTTTCAAATAAACAGGCTCCAGGAGGGCTGTTATTTTTGTCAACAGTCATCAGTTCTTCCCAGCGAGCTGGCAAGGAAAGAGAGGCCATCGCTGTCTACTTTTACAGGCTTAAAAACAGTCCACCTTGACCTATTTTTTTTGTTTTTTTTGTACTGGGGATCGAACTCGGGTCCTTGCACTTGCACAGCAGGCAGCGAAACCACTGAGCTAAATCCCCGGCCCCACCTTGACCTATTTTTAAATCACCCTAATCCTCCGTTTTCAATACTTTCACTGACTGGGGTTTGAAAGTTCTAGTCCCTGTCCCCTTCCAGGCTCTGCCCTGGTCAAGGTTAGAGGGGACTGGAGCTTTGCGCGCCTCCCTCTGTGCACAGGGTCTTTGGTGCGCAGGCCTGACTCCCCGCCCAAGGCCTGGGCTCTGCCTCGCTGGTCCTGCTGGGGGGTGGTGGTGGCTGGTTCCCCTTCTGCAAGCTGGCCCAGATCCAGTGCTGTCGCACGCTCGGCCAGCTCTCTCCTTCCTTACCTCCCTCGGCCCATCATCCAGGGGCACCGGGCATGGGGTGTCAGGGAACTAGCAGGAAGCTGCCTCTCCACTTCCTCTCCCTGCCGATGGCTGACCAGCCCCTTCCCTCTGTTGTCTGCTGCCTTCTTTTCTAGCCTCCAGCCTCCCTATTTTCTTTGTCAGATGGAGGTCCTCCTGCCTCCTGATTCCTTCAGCTGAGATTCTCTTGAAACTTTGTGACAATGGCTTACAACGACACACGCACCTCCTGCCAGCCCAGTGCCCCTGGGGACTGTAGGCCCAGGAAGCCCTGCATGAAGACACCTAACTGTTTACCCCTTAGACATCAGAATCTTTTGGCCCAGGAACTGACTGATTGCTGTGCCTCAGAAGTAGCGCTTCCTGGAGGCCGCCAGAGCCCCTCCCTCCTCCTGACCTCCGTGTGCCATCACCATCCAGTCCAGCAGCTGGGTCCAGCTGTGCGACTGGCTCTGGCCAGGCGGGGATGCGGCCATATGGTCCCCGTGCTGACCTTTGCACGTCTTCCCATCCGGCTGCAGCGTGAATCCGACAGGGCAGCTGCATCGCACGCCAGTGGCCGTGTCCTTGCACGTCCGGTCACAGCCTCCGTTATTTACTGCACAGGTCTCTGGGGAGGGAAACAGACAGGCGCTCAGTCTCCTAGGGCAGAGGCCACCATCTTTCCCCATCCAGGGGGAGTTGGCCTAGGAGGCAGGAGACCTGGTGCACCTTTTGGCTCTGATACTCTCGCTGTGGGACCCCGGGTAGCTGTGCAGCCCCTTTGAGCCTCAGGCTCCCCATTGGGAACATGAGAGTATGGCACTGTGCCCCTGGGTCACAGAGAGGCTCCAGTGTGTTGAGGAGCTGTGTGCAAGTGTCAGAGGCCTATCCATGGGTGGAGGTCGCCACCAATGGGCTCACCATCACTATTTGGGGGCAATGCTAAGAGGAGCCTGCCTGGTATCTAACTGCCCAGGGCCCTAACCGCCTGCCCTGACTCCAGCTCCCAAAGTAGTGGCTGGTGGCAGGCGGCAGCCGGGGCTTCCACCTCATCCTGATGCAGAGTGGCTCTCGGCCCTGGCAGCCTGCAGAGCGGGGGTCCCCAGCCTGCTTTCCATCCTTCACCTCACCAGGCTCTAGGCCTCACATCTGTTCTCACTGAACCGTGTGCCAGCGGTGTCTGGTTTGTGTCTGTTTGAAGGCTGTCTAGTGCTTTTTTCCCTTCTGCAGATTTCAAAGGGGCTGGGCGGCTGAGGGCACAAGCGAGGTCACACAGCCGTCTCGAGGTGCTAGTGATGCTCCACAGGCCCGCAGAGGGCTGGCTAAGCCCGCTCACGGGTGGGGCCTGGCCCACGGGGAAGCCGCTCTCCCAGCCCTGGTCCTCGCCACCTGGGGTTCTTCCTGAGCACCTGGAGGGCAAATGGTGCCTGGCTGGGCTTCCCTGTTCCCTTCGCTGCTAGGAAGCAGAAAGGCGCCAGGTGCCCATTTTTCATAACCTGAATTCCCTGCTGCCTCTGCCTGGCGGCTCCTGGTGCCTGGCCTTGGCCTGCTTCTCTGGAAGATTCTCCTCCACTCTGCCAGCTGCCTGCTCAGGGTTCCCTTCACGAGTTCGGGAATGGAGGGGATTCTCAGGGGCCAGCAGTCCCTGCTGCTAATTAGATCAAGTCCGCGGTGACTTTCTTTTGAACCTCACCTTGGAGGAAGGATGCAGGAGGGAGAGAAGCCTGGCATCCCTCTCTGTGACGGCTGCCATCTTGGGCAGAGCTGGAGTTGCCCTAAGAGCTGACTCTCCTTCACCCTGACCCTTCCCAGTCAGGCTCTCAGAGTCCACACAGATCCAGGGCTCCAGCTGGGTGTGGGCGGCTGTGGTGAACAGCCTTATGCTCCCTCCTCCCTGCTCATCCTTTGGGGCCTGGCTCACAGGCCACCCCTGAGAGGAGCCTGCCTAGCCCCTCACAGGAAGGGGCTGAGCCCTTCTCCGAGTTTGGGCAGCTGGGCTGTGTGCCATGCCCTGTGGCCTGCTCTTGCCTCGGTCTCCCCTCGAAGGCTTCCCTTGGGGCTGCCTCCCAGCTCCGCAGCAAGGAAGTGAGGGAAGCCTTTCTTCCCAGGGCCAAGGTGACGGTCACATAACCCCACTTGAAAGCACTGGTCCAGGTGTTGGAGTGGCTGCTTGCCAAATGTTGCCTTCGGCTCCCACACAGGGAAATTCTGCCTCCCACCCCAAGCGGGGGCAACGAGCTCCCCAAGAGCCCCTTCAGCCTTTCTTGAGGGAGAGGACAGAGACCCGTCTGCTGCCCAGGTTCGGGTAATTAAGGCTCAGAGGCGGGGTGGGGGTATGGGGAAGAGGGGAGAAATGGCCTGGCAGCCCGAGGTCCTTCCCACCCGTGCCCTTGGGGTCTGACCCTCCAGGATGCTAAGTGGGCCCCGGGACCTCAGCTGACTGAGGCCGGGTGGGGGTGCTGGTGCTCAGTGCGGATGGTTACCCTCCTCTTCAAACCCCACTGCAGACTCGCTCTCCTGCCCTGGCAGTTTTATCTTAGTCTCCTTGGGCCGTCGCCAGGCCCTGTGGGGTGTGCTTGAGTGCTGACTCCTGACCCACAGCCTCCGCACTGCGGTCCACACCCGCCAGCAACGGTCACCACGTCCCTCCCATGCCTCATGCTCCTGCCCACACAGCGCCCGGGCCCTCAGCAGCCCACCGAGGAGCCCAAGACTGCAGTCAATGGCAGTGCTGGAGGGACCTGCTGGGTCTGACCCTAATCCCCCAGCTCCCCAAGGACAGGGACCTCCCTGACAGCCTTTGCCCTCTGTCCCCAGCCAGCCCATGCTCCAGGGTGTCAGCAGCCACACAGGGGGCCACTGGCTGTCACACCTGTCCCCTCCGAATCCTGGGACCCCCCCCCCCGCCACCTCCCCATGGACTGTCCTGTTGCTTCCTTAACATGGTCCGACTTTGGCCCCTGCTCTACTGCTGCTCCCTGGCCCAGCCTCCCAACTGTCTCTTCTCTGGCCACTGGCCTATGCTGAGGACCTATGGGCTCTCAAGGACTTCTCTGTGCCAGGCCCGGTGCTGGGTGAGGAGGTATGGGTAGAGGTAGCAGCAGGCACCTGGCCTGTCCTCAGTCTACCTTGCTGGACCTTGGCAGGCTGTCCCTGCCCAGGCTCCAGTACCTTCTCTACCATGCGGGAGGGAGGGTGGCTCCCACTGGGCCCTCCTGAGCTGTGTTGGTCCCAGGGTGGCATATGAGTGGTCTAAAACACAAAGGGTGATGCTGTGTTGCTCTACCTGGGCCTCTGCATTCATAGGACAGGCGGCTGGAGTGGGGTCCTGGGTGCTGTTGAGGGGGCCTCTTGCCTTTGGGGGCCATCAGCTCAGGGCAATGCCCAGCTTCCATCTCTGAGCGCCTTGAAAAGCAGCCTCACCTCTCTGTCCCCCAAGACTAGAGGCCACCAGACCTGGTGGTCAGATGACCAGTTTCAGAGAGATTAAGGAACAGCCTGGGCTTTTATGCAGCAGCATCTCAATTGTGGGTCACTGCAAGGAGCAGACAGGGCTGGACCCTGCAGGAGGGCCACTCCCCTGGGCCTTCCTTCTGAGGCTCTGGCCTTGCCTGGGTCCCCTCCCAGGGCCCAAGCATGGGCTGGAGCTGGGAGACCAAGGTGTGACCCAAATCATGGGGTCTCTTGCGTTTGACAGGGTGGCCAATCCCCATCTGTGCATGGATCCAGCTACCAGAACTGCAGCACTGGGGCTGAAAAGGGGAATTGAGCAGAGCCAAACCTGAGCATTCCTTTGCACGCAGAGGACCCCATCTCTCTCTTTGTACCCTGTCTCCAGGTAAGAGCTACCAGGGCTCTTCCTAAGAGTGTTCTCCTACTGGAGAAATGGCAGGGACAAACCTGCGGCACAGCCTGCCCAGTTGGCAGAGCACCATCTCACCCAGTGACCTCAGCTGGCCTCTCAGCGGCACACAGGGACATTTCTGCAGGACGGAGGTGGGGCTCAGAGAGGTAGAATAATATGGCCAGGCAGCACTGATGACCTGATGGGTAGGGCCCATGAGAAGTAAAAGCCAAGGGCCTGTCTTCAAAAATTATTCAGAAAAAAAAAATTATTCAGGATTTCAGGACAGAGACAGCGGAACATTAAAGTAGCCATGGGCCCACCTCGAGGCAGGGGCCTGGTGACTGCACAGGGTGAGCACTTGAGAAGTGGCCAGTGTCTGGGTCACACTGTGATAAGGAGGGGCCAGCTGTGGGCCCAGCGCTGTGACTCTCCAGGCAGAGTGAGCTGGGCCAGGCTGGAGAGCTAGGGTTGGGCCAGGGTAGCCTGAGCAGCGGAGCTGGGTGGCGGAGAAGAAGGCTGGCCTGGGGCTGGCTGGGATCTAAAGGGGCAGGGGAAAGTCCCAGACCAGGAAGCCCCTGGGAAGGATGCTCCACTGTGCCCTGTGTGCACAGGCCAGGGCAGGGACAGGAGGCTGCCTGGGCAGCACCTGGGGTCCAGCAGGGCCCCTGAGGGAGTCTCAGTCCCTGTGTCAATGGAGTACGAGCTTCGGGTCAGATGAACGGAGCTGTGGGTCTGCGCACTGGCTGCGTGTGCCCGGGCAAGGGGCTTCACTTCCTGGGGTCTGTTTCCCGATGGGTCACAGCGGTGACAGTGGGACCACACCCATTCTGCATGGCCCTGAAACCACACAGGAGGTGCCAGTGCTCTGCAAGCTGCTGGGGCCACGATCCTAGGGACACCCTCAGTTGTTTCTTAGAACCCTGGACATGATCTCAGCACCCAAGGTCCCCTGCTGATTTACCCAGCAATCATCTGAACTGCTCTGACCCTGGCCTCTGACCCCTGGGGTAGAACTATCCCTTCCCATGGCTGTGCACTCCTTGGCCACTCCCCCTGCAGGCAGAGCTGAGTCAGGGTGGCCCCTGTGTCCTTCAGGGGCCCAGACAGTGGGGGTGGCTGATGCATGGTGCTCAGCAACTGGATTGATGAACGGGGACCTCGGAGGCCTATGAGGAATGACATGAAGCATGGGCACCCAGTCCCTGCCCTGAGTCGGGCCTGTCAAGACTGCAGGGATCGGGGCTCACCGGTTGAGTGGGGAGGGGCTGCAGGTTGCCTTGCACAGCCCTGCCATGGGCTCTTCACTTCCCTGCAATGAGAACTAGCTGTGGCCAGGCTTTGTTCCAAAGCACCAGGGGACTCTGGGTAAATGACTGTCCCCTGTCTGGCCTCGGGCTTCCCACCTGTAGCATGCCTGGGCCTCCCCAAGGGCTCACCAGGAGTGGCGGGTCCTGTGTGGGCCCAGTGTCCTGCACCTGCCCTGTCCCTGCAGGCCTGACCTGAAAGCCCCCGTTGGAGCTGGTACCTGCTGCCTGCATTGAGCCAGTGGAGGCGGCTGTGAAGCATGACCATTGGTTCTCTCCATCTACCTGATGACTGCTGACCTTCCCTGGTTCCCAGTGCTGGGACAAAGGGCACTCTGCCTGGGGTGGTCCTTACATGGTGGCTCTGGTCTCCTCTTGCCCTGAACTCCAGCTCTGATATTAGTGCTGGGTGTAGGACACATGGAACAGGCTTCTTACGGTGCCTCTTGTCCCCCAGCAGGGGGCAGTGGAGAGGCCCTGACCCATCCACTGATGCCTGTTCTCTGGTCCTAGTCATGCTGCTGCGCGCTGCTGTCCCTAAGCTGTGCGAATGCCCACTCCTGAGTACCATCTGCTGAGATGGGAGGTCATGGAGGATGGGGTCCCTCTGCCCCTGTTGCTCAAAGACCACCCGGGTGCTTCCTGGACTCTGTCTTGCGGCATGTGGCCCAAGTGACTCTGTGGCCCTGGTAGGCCCTGTACTGACTGTGGCCTGCAGCTCAGACCCCCATCCTGTGGGCCGCTGTCGCCCCGAGACTGCCCTGCTCAGAGGAGTTCTCTTCGGGAAATGTCACTCAGTTGTGTGCCTGTGAGTGCTCAGACCACTGCTTGGAGGGCCGCCCGGACCTGGGGGACCATGCCAGATCTTCCGCCAGAGGGGTCCACCCCCTGGGTGGCCTGAGGGCAGGAGGTGACAGACCTCAGGAGAGGTTCTGCGGGTCTCAGAAGGGCAGCGGAGGTTTTGCATCAGAGCAGGTGACAGGAGCACAGCTACCAGCGGCATGAGTTCCCTGACACGGACTCTGGTCCCTACTCTAGGTGCGAAGGTGCTGAGGGCAGAGAAGGGGTTGCTGGGTAGCCTCCCCTTGAACTGACCCTCAGCAGGGAGCTGGGGTGTGATAGTCACACCTATGCTGCAGAGGCTCAGGAAGGAGGTGGAGCAAGGCTGCACAGCTGGCCAACAGCTGGGCCAGCATGCTGCCACTGTGCTGGGCTGCCCCTCCAGCCTGTGGACCTGGCGGGTAGGGTCAGACCTTTCTGTTGAGAACCCTCACCAACAGCAGCTAGTGCCCGCTCAGCATGCCCATGCCCTGGAGGGTGGGGGCGGGTGGTGGTGGTGGCAGGGAATCCTAGGGCCAGCCTTTGGCCCAGGCTGCTGCTGGCTGACCATGTGGCCTCTGCAAAGGGGGCAAAGCTGCCTCTCAGGGTTGGGGGGATGTGGAGGGACATTCTGGGCCCCTACCTGGGGAGGCAGCACACTGGTAAGGGGAGAGCCAGGCATAGGGTGGCTGGAGATGTCAGGCCTAGAAAGGAGGGAAGCCCACCCTGGCCAGCACTGCCCTCCTGTTCAGGACTGTCAGGCCTTCTGTAGGCCAGAGGAGGTGTGTCCCCGGCTAAGCCAGCCAAGGGGGTGGGAGCGTGGGCCCTGCCTTCAGGGGAGGTCCTCCTCACTCAGAACCAGCCAGCTATTTCAGGCCCAACAATGGCCCCTTAAACTGTCCCCATCCTAATCCCCAGAGCCTGGACCCTACAAGGAAAAAGGGATAGATAGGAGAAGGGCCTTGGGCTAAGGGATCACCCTGGATTGCCTGGGTCTGCCCAATAGGCTCACAACAGTCCTTTAAAGTAAAAGAAGGAGGCAGGAGGAGAGGGCAGGGGAGAGGGCTGTGACACTAGAGGAGGCCCTGAGCCACCAGGCTACTGGCCCTGAAGGAAGGAGCTGCAGGCGGAGCTGTGCAGCAGCCTCCAGCAGCAGGAAACAGCAAGGTGAAAGACTGTTCCCTGGAGCCCTCAGCGGAGACACAGCCCACTGACACTGGGAGCCCTGGCCAGCCCAGGGAGCCCTGTGTCATATTTGTGAGCTGCTTCCAATAATAAGTTGTGCTGCTTTAAGCCACAGAGATGATGGCAATGTTCATGGCAGCCACAGGGAACGAACATACACGCATCCTACGGATGCTCTGGGGAGAGGAACCTGAGAAGACCCGGGGTTGGTGAGTGTGACTCAGCCACTCATCAGTCCTGCTTGAGGGGCCCCGGGGCCTGCGGGGACCTGATCTGTACCCCGAGGTGGGCACCTGACTGACGTTCCACAAGGGAGGTGTGTGGGATGGATGAATGTATCACATTCACTTTCCAGTCCAAAGGTTCTAACGATAGTCATGGGGCTCTACTGCTGGCTCCGGGTTTGAGCCTCTCGCGTACATATTGCCTGAGCTGGGCCTGGCCTGTACGTGGTGACTGGGGTGCTTCCTGTGACCAGGGATGGTGGGTGCCATCGAGGACCCTTGGTGGGCATGGCCAACTGGTTGAGGCCCAGTGCCCCATGGTTCCCAGGTTTCCCTTCCTGACCCTCTCTAGATGGCAAGGACAGTGTCTACCACTGGATCCAGCAGGGCCGAAGCCACCTTCCCTGGGAGCGCTGTGCACCCTCTCTGTGGTTTCTACCAGAGCACCGGAAGCAGCCAGGGCCTTCCCACTGGGAGGCTGCAGGCTTTAGTCAAGGCCGGGGCTTGGGTCACTTCCGGCCTCTAAACTCTGATCCCCCGGAGTCACAATGCCACAGTTTGGGTGAAAGGCGAGCTGGTAGAAGGCTCAGACACAGCTGAGCGCCCCAGCTTTAGCACAAGGATTTGCATCCTTTGCCCTTGCCCTGTCTTGGCCCTTGGCTGTATTCAGGGCTGGGGCAGCTGCTTAAATGACTTGCAGGTGTCTCAGGGCTGTGACCTCTGCTGACTGGGCACAAAGCATTTTGGGAAGAGGCCCGAGCTTGGCTCAGCGCCACCACCTCCAGGGGCCCTGATGCCTCAGTGTCCCTGGGCGGGGGCATGTGGCCCTGGACACTATGGGGAGATGAGGTTTCATGCTGGGGCCACAGGACAAGTCTCTCCTGATGTGTGGTCCCCACAAAGAGTGCAGGCATGAATCTTGCCCTCTGCCCAAGTCCCCTCCTCTGCTTACTGCCGGTCCAGGCTAAAAACTGCCCCATCGACTTGGGGGACAAATGGTCCTCAGGGAGGGAGAAGCCTGTGCAGCCACCTCACAGCACAGGACCCAGTGCAGTCCCCACCCACCTTTATGCCAGGTCCTCATCTTGGTCCTCTGGTGGGAGCTGGCCAGGGCAGGGGTTGTGGGTGTGGCCTGTGGGGTCAGGCGGCCCGGGGTCTGTCCTGAGTGTGTCAGCATCCCCTTCTGCCTGTTCCATCTCTCTCCCAGGGCCCAAACGGAGCTCCAGCTCCCCGCCAGCGCCTGGGTCTCCCAGAGTATTCTGCTGCTGCTCCATGTCTCTCTCACCCCATTCTGATCCCCTTTGTGGTTCAGCAGCTCTCCATGCGGGCCTGACTGAACCTGACGCCCGCTCTGCTCTGATTGGCACAAGGCAGAACAGGGGTGGCCCCTCCCTATTCTCCAGACCTCGCCTCAACAGTACAGCTGGAGCAGACCCTCTCACTGGGGTCTCCCAGGAAGGGCCTGAAATCTACTTTACCACATGGGCCCTTCTGCAGACAGGGACTAAGAAGGAGGAGCTCTTGAACTGTGGGCTCACCTGGGGCCCCAAGACCAACCTTCCTGGGATGTCCTGGCCCCAAGAACTGCAGGGAGGCTCAAGGACGGAGGGAGGGGACAGGAGGTGGAGACACAGGGGAAGCCAGGTGTCCTCCATTCCTGGGCGCCCTCCTGCTGTCAGCATAGACCCCAGTCTGCCCCCCTCCTGCAGGGGTGGGGCCACACCTGCTTGCTGGGGCCTGGGATGAGCCTCAAAGTCCACCCCCCTGCCACTTCCGACAATGCTGTCCAGAGTGTGGGCAGCAGGCTTTGCCTGCCTGGCCATGTGCCCAGGGACAGGCACTCAGAACCCTGGCCTGGTGTTCTCATCTGAGAAGCGGGTGGCATCTGTCCTCCCAGCACGTGTGCAAGGGCTCACCAAGCCCCGCCAGCCAGGCATCGAGCCCTCTCACCGGCACAGGGCCACATCCCTCCCTGTGGCCCTCTGTCCCTCCTCCCTTCCTCTCTGATGCCCGGGCCCTTGGAGGTCTACAAGGAGACTAGGAAGCTAGGTGACCTCTCTGGGCCCTTCAGGGCCTTGCAACCTGACACTTAAAATGACCCATATGGCTGGGCTCTTGGGGCTGAGCTCAGCTCTGCAGAGCAGTGTGTGGTCTTGGGCAGCCAGGGCACCAAGGGGCACCCATCCCTTCCTCTGAGAAATGGGGGTGCCACCATCCAAGCCCACAGCTGCCAGGCTGGCACGAGCCATCAGGGTGCCCCCAAGGAGGCTGTGACGATGCCTGCAGGCTGCCGCTATGCTCACAGCTGGTGATCCCACAGCCGAGGAACCACTGAGAAAGGCACGGAGGAGGTGGCAGCCTGCTTTCCTGTCTACACTCTGCACCCTGTCTAAGAGCAGCTGTTTCTTCCTCTTCCTTCTCCTCACCTGGCCCAGGGTCAGCCCTGTCTGCAGGCCTCCCTGGGCACCCTGGTTATGGCTCCCTGCTGGGGGAGGAGACAGAAGGACGTCCCCCAGAACCCCTTCCCACCAAGGCCCCTTGGCTTCTGAGTCTCTGTGGCTCTGCTGGCCCTGGGGCCTAACTGCCCACGTGGGTGTTTACTGCAAGCAGAGGAGGCCTATGGCATGCATCTCCTTACACGCCCAGGGTGCTAGACAGGGGCTCGGATTCTGTGCTACGAACACACAGAGTTTGATGGAGGTTAAAACTTTAAAAAGGAAAAAGTGAGTTCCCATTGGTGGCCGAGCCCCCCCCACGTGTGTGATGGTACACACGCAGGCACACACCATCCACGTATACACCCACACACGCGCTCATGCTAGCCACACACTAGCACACACTGGCCGCATGCTCACGAGCCAGCACGCACGCGCGCACACACACACACACACACACACACTCACACACACATGCACACACAAAAGGGCAAGTACGACAAAGGAAGTGGAAGAAAAGTGTTACCCATGAGGAGCCGCCGTTTCACCCGCTTGTCCACATCAGCTACTGACGTGGCATTGAACTGAGAGCGCTCAATTGCAGCCTCATCCTTCTCTAAAACACAAGTAAGGGACAAACATGGAGCCGGTGGTTAATGAGAGCCCACTTCCTGCGGCCCAAGACAGCCAGCCTCTTGGCATGGCGCACACAGAGCGGACGCGCATGCAGGCCAGCAAGGCGTCCTCGCCCAGGGCTACTCCCAGGAACCTCTGGGGCAAAGCGGAGAGGCATCGAAGGCGGGGTGGGGCGTGCAGAAGACGGGTGACCACACATGACCTGGGACACGGAAGGACACAGTGCCCCTGTGCAAACAGACAGAGGAGGAGGAGCAGGAGGACTGGCCTGCAGAGCAGTCACAGACCCCACGGCTCAGGCTGGAGAGGCAGGCACAGGACAAGGCACAGGACAAGGGGACAGGGCCGTGAGGTCCGGTGATGGATGTGCCTGGGACAGCAGAGGCCCTGTCCCAAGGATGGACATGAAAGTGTGCTGTTCGTGCAAAATTAAGAATGAAACACACAGAGGAAGACACACGTGCACATGACAATGGATCCCACTGAACCGACAGAAGAACCGGGGTCGACTTGGGCAGCGCTGGTTGCCTGCTTGTCTAGAGCACCAGAGCTAAACATTCAAGTGCTCACGAGGGATTGCGAGGAGGGCATGGGCCTTTTAGGAGGTTGCAGAGAAGAATGGACCTGGCGAGCTGGCCACGAAGTGAGTGTGCAAGGTGCTTCCTGCAGAGGAGCTGTGAGGTTAGCTGGTAGAGAATCTGCTCCGTCGGCAACTCGGACAGTTATTGCTCCCAAGGGGGACAGTGGTGGCAGTGAGCAGAGTCAGATGAAAGGGTTCTCATCCTGGCTGGGAGTGGAAGCCACATTGGCAGGGCTGGGAGGAGAATGGTTTCTAAGGAGAGGAGAAGGAAAGCGTGGGCTTGGGAAGTTACTGTAGGAGGCAGATTCAAGCAGGGACCGTCACATGCAGCAGACGTTGAAAAATAAAAAAAAAAATGAGGGAGGATGAGTCAGGAGGACACAGACATAAGGGGTTAGACACAGGCTGAGAGGTTTGGACTGCAAAGCCTGGGGTGCTTGAGCAGACGAGACAGGAGGGAGGCTGGGTGGCTGGGGGTGCGGGCGGGACAGTGGAGGGACAGAGGCAGAGGACAGGGGGTTCTAGATGGGATCAGGCTGCAATAGAGACACTGGTCTGAGACCCCGTTTGGCTTTTAATTTTTTTTTGATTGGTTGGTTGGTTTGGTTTTGGCTTTTGGCTCTGAAAATAGTTAATGAGTGTCACTTATCAGACAAGACAGGCAATCAGGGACCATCACCAGAAAAGCAGGAGAAATGAGATAAAATAAAATAAAAAATGGCTGTCTGAGAGAGGAGACCACACAGAGAAAGGGAAAACCACCACAGGCAGCAGCACCCTGTGAGACAGCCCTGGACCCCGGAGGGGACAGCAGGGCACACTGCTTCCCAAGCCATGAGGGCACAGTCCCAGGGGATGGAACGCGACAGCAACTCTGGGCCTCGTGTGCCAACACCTGCTCATCAACCCCTTTCTGTTACATGGAAGTCCCTCAGGAGGTACCTCCTGATTGAGGAGAAGAAATGGGGCCTTTAAAAAAAAAGTAATGGCTCCTAACTCATGGAGTGGGGGGGGGTTCCTAAAGTGCCAGCACTGAAGAGAAAGAAGAGGGAAGACTGGGCACCAGCTCTGAAATTCCTCTTTTTCCTCAGTTAAAAAATTTGCTGTTATTTTTGAATGGGAGAAAAGGAAAAAAAAAAAAAAACAACTACTGGTGATTACAGCATGAAATAATCACAACTATTTAAGCTTCCCCTTGGAAATACGGGCCCAGAGGAGGGAGGTGGCTGAAACTCAATGCAGGACTCCACGTAGCAGGTAAGGTGATGGGGCGGGGTTCATTGAGAAGGGACTTCAGGTGGCCAGGAAGTCCTTCAGCTTGGCACGAAGCAGCTCAAAGCACCCACACTGCACCCACGAAGTGCCGCCCGCCACTCACAGCATGTGCTGAGGAGCCCCAGATGTGCCAGGCTGCTAGGGCACCCACCAGAACTCACGGGTGATGCAGATCACATGAATCTGGCCAAGTGTTTTCCATGCCAGGAAACACCTGAACTTCAGAGCAGACTATTGCTTCTGAGGTTCATACCTTCCTCATCCTCCAGGCCACCTACCTGCATGGAGGGTGGGGACCACAGACTCCCCCGCGGGAACTTGGCCCCAGGATCCAGGAGAAGTCTCCACAGGTGCCACCCAAGGGGACACCTGCCAACGCCATCTCCACTGTGGGGCCTTCCTTGGTTCCCTTCAGCCCCATTCCGGGAAAATAGGATGGGCAGGGAGCGGCCAACGCAGGGCCACACGGCCCCTACTCACCGATGCACGTCCGGCCGTCCGAGTGGAGGGCGTATTTCTGGTGGCAGCCACACATGGGGCCTGTGTCCGTGTCCTCGCAGCTGTGCTGGCAGCCTCCATTTCCATAGTTACAGGTTACTATTTAGCCCAAGTGCATATACGTGTGTATAGACAGAATGACAACAAGAGTGGTTAGTGTGCTGGTGGTAGCTGTTTCCTTTGCGGGTGGGTAAGGACGGGAAGGCCCAGTGGCCAGTGATGGGCACAGGAGGCCTGTGGGCTCTGAGTCTTTCCAGGCCTCAGACCATATGTCCTGCCTTACAGGGGAATGGGCTGGGGCCCGATGGGCTCGGGGTCGTTGCTCAGACAGCAGTAGATAGGGGAAGGGACACGCTGGACAGCTTTAACTTTCCCAGGTCACAAGATACTTTAACGCTGCTGGCTCGATGGGACAAGTGTCTGTTAATACAGCTGGCAATTTGGGGAGCGGGAGGGGTCCAGCCATGGCTCCAGGTGACACTCATTTGCGCAGTTCTGGCAGAGCTCCGTGTGCAGGGATATCCCCACGGACACCCACTGTCCCTGGGTCCCAGCAGCCAGCCACCTCAGCCCATACAGAGCCCAGCAGTACCCACACACAAGAACTTAGGCAAGCTCCTATTGCCTGAGGGGCAGTGGTGACAGTGACCTGAATAGGCCATGTTACACAATTGGTGCCCTCTGTGGCCTGGAGGACCTGGTTCCTTTCTGCCCACAACCTTAAGACATTTTCCAACCTCAGTAGCCTTGGGGTGCACCAACATAAAGAAGCCGGCTGAAAGTGGGAAAAGTGTAAATTCAAGTTTATTAGAAAGAAACCCTTTTATCACTTTTGAGGTGGACAAAAATGGCTGGGGGAGAACCAGGGGATCTGAGGTCTCTGGGACAGTCTCAGCTACAAGGAGCTGTCCTCTGTGCAAATGGCACACAGAGGCTTCGAGGGCAGTGCGTCTTCTTGGAGACTTTGCCTATTGTCTACCGTTCTGTCTACCCTCTTACTTTACTTGGCCAGCCCCAGTGATGGTTAAATATGCAAAACCTGATCTCAGGCCAACTATGGTCAGAGGGGCCCCAAACTCCAAACCTAAGAGTTTGAAATAATCCCATCTTCTTAAAGGATGAACAGGGCCAGCTGCAGAGGGAAGTCACTGGTGGCAGCTCTCAGGGGACATCCAAATGCTTCAGAACTGACGTCTGCAGTCACTCCAGCCAGGTCTCCCTTTCATGAGGAAAGTGACACAGCACCTTCTTCCTGCGCACCTTCCTGCATGGCGGTGGCCCCTCGGCCTTGGGTACTGTGGTCTGTACAGCAGCTGAGAATGGTTGACAGGGCCAGACATCTACCTAGGGCCCCAGAGGCTCTAATGTAGTCCAGTTAATGTGACTTTGGATGCAATTTCCAAGGTGATATTTCAAGGACCTGCAGGATCTTCAGGAAACCCGACTGGACCCTTCTCTGCAGAAGTATCTCTCTGCCTGGGCTTGGTGGAGCCTGGTTTCTCTCTGAAACAGCTCATTCCTGAGTAGCAAGAGCCACAAGGAAGCCAAGGGTCAGGAGCTGCAGATCCTAGGGGAGGCTGGAGCCCAGGCATGCTGGACAGCACTACTTTCCGGGCCCAAGCAGAGCCCTATTTTAGAGTGGGCATGGCTGGAGCATTGAGAAGGCATCGGGAACAGAACTGTTCTTCCAAGCTCTGCACCCAGGGGTGTCTGTGGCCCAGAATGATGCTGCCAGGGTCCCCTAGAGCTCTGAGGGCTGGGCTGTTTCTGAATGCAGGAGTGCCTGCCCCTGACTTGGGAAGGCAGAGGGAAGGAGCAGGGCCTCTGTCTCCGGAGTGGGGCTGGTTCTGGAGGGCTCAGGGAGTTGGGAGTAGAGCTCTGCAGTCTTCTTGGCCCAGACAGGCTGGCTAAGCCAGGTCTCAGCCCCAGCCCAACCTGGAGCACTGTGACCTCAAGGGTTAGAGCAAAGGTCTCAGAGCCATTTTTAACCCTGCCTCATGAACTCCACTAACTTAGCTGGGCAGTCTGTACTGGTGAGGCCTCAGCGTCACCACTTATTGGGCTGTCCACACCTGGGCAGCACACACCTCTGCAACACCCAGCCCCCCAGCAGGGGGTGCACTGCCAGTCCTTAAAGTGGGAACATCTCCCAGCCACAGTTTAGCCCTTTTCTAAGCTGGCGGTGGTTGGGGTGGTGTGAGTGAGTGCCTTAGCTGCTCTGACCAAGTTGTGCCCTCCTGAAATGTTCTCTGAGCAAGTTGTCTCCGACATAGCACTTGTCCCGATGTATTTCAGAATCAGGCACTTGCTGGTGCCAGCTAGGTCATCTGGCAGCCATCTCCTCAGTGCCCACTTAGGGCCTGGCCCCGAGCAAGGGCTCAGCCTGACTTGTGCTGGAGGATCACACTTCCCACCGCACATGTTCTTGTCTTGGGCCTTTCTCCTGTTGTCACTGAACAAGGAGGGCTGGGATAGCTGGAGTTTTCATTTTCTGTCCTGAAAGCAGCCATGTGGCAGGTGTGTCTTGGCAGTTACAGGAATCCACCTGGTCTAGAGGTGAGGAGTCTGGGGCTATCTATTGGTTCTGCCTTGGTGATAGCATCCACACTTGTACTGGCTGTCCCACGGGAAAAAGCCAGCAGTGAAGAGCAAGGCTGTGCACTCTGGGACCCAGAGGGACCCAGAGATGGAATATGGGGGGCTGGGGCCCCACTTCCCAGAGAGGACAGCATCTGGTGTTTGTGGGTCCCTGGGCCTTGCTGACTGCAGGAGGCTGGCCTGAGTGGGGAAACGTGTTGTAAGCTGCCCCCAGGAGGACTGGTGACAATGGAGTCACCACGACTAAGGATGATGGACAGTATGGGCCAGGTGTCTTCTGCACAGAACGAGGGATGGAAAAATGGCCACTTCTTTCACACTTGTCATCAGCCCCCATCCTCCACCTCGACAATGCCGGTGGGGAACATGTTCTCCAGGGAGAATCCCAGCCAAATTCCTCTTGGCCACTGTGGTGAAGTGGAGTGAACTTGATGAAGCCCTTCTCCCTGGCTGAGAGGTGACATGCTTCTGACAGCCCACCTCGGCTCTTGGAACACACAGCCAGGGCAAATGTGATGGCAGAGTGGTACCCTGCTTCCAACGAGCCGGGGCTCTTTCCCCTGCCTCCACTGACGGGGATCACTGGCAGTGAGGTCAGTGTGGGCCAAATGGACCCCTAGAACCACCCTCCTGTGCCTCTTCCTTCCCTCCCTTACACAGGGCTCCGTAGGCCACCAAGACACCCGGACTTTCAGGCCTCTGTGCCCCAGCCCCCCATTCCCACTGCAGACAGGCGCTCAGGGCCCAGCCTTGATTCAGGAGAGGAGGACCCCAGGCCCAGGATTCACACCGTCCCCTAACCCCTCCCCGGCCCCTGCAGCAGACCCTGCCCTTCTCTGCACCCTGACGTCCAGCACCCTGGTCGGACCCTCCACAAAACAATGGCAGGAGACGCGTGGGGGTGTGGCCCATTTGCCTCCATCTACCTACGTGTGCAGTCCTTCTGGTTTTGGGCAAGGTCAAAGCCGGGCCTGCAGTCGCAGGCCACCCCACCTTTGGGTGTCTCTCGGCAGATGTGGGCACAGCCATGGTCTTTGTTCATGCAGTTCATACCCTCTGGGAAGAAAGACAGACAAGACAGGGGTTGGGGGCCGGGGAGAGAGGGAGAGGTAATTTCAGGCTGAAAAGAGGTAACCAACGAAGCGTCACAATCAAACAGGCTCCACTGCACACAGCATGTGCACACGGACACCCACACGCATAGGTGCGCCGGCCATCCGCTGGAGATCCCTCGGGAAGGCGCCCGAAGCTAGAGCTCTGTGAGCTACACTGTAACCACACCTGGGGTCCCAGGGCAGATTTCGGGGTGAGGGCTGTGGAAACACTCTCAGGCCACAGCAGCTGCCCACCCCCGCCACCGCCCGCAGACTCAGTCTCCCCCAATCTGCCTGGAGTGGCTTGAACTTCTTTCTGTTGACCCCAGTTGATGTTTATCTTCCTGGTGATTTGTGAGGAGTTTCTAGAATTTATGAGGTCAGGGGTCAAGTGAGAGGTTGTGGGTCACAAGTCCATCAAGAGGCCACAGGCACATGAAAGGGAAGGGCCGCTGTCTGGCAGCTCACCGGCTCTGTGACCTGACTTGCATCTCTGCCCTCCAGGATGGTGCAGAGGGGAGGGAATCCTGTAGGTGGGTGAACTCACAGGGTGGCCTTTTTGCCCCAAGAAACACACTGGCCTCTTGCCCCAGGGGACAACTAGTTAAATCTTGATCCTGGGCACTGTAAACACAACCATGTGGCAATGCAGGATGCATTTAAAAACACAAGGTCCCTGGCAGCTATTACACAGATATAGATGTCTAGGGATGGAGGTGTAGCTCAGCGGTAGCATGCAAGAGGCTACAGGTTCCATCCCTGGCACCTCCTAAGTCTAAAGTTAAAATAAACTCTCCACAATGGAAATGAATGATGCACGACCCTGCATTATTCCTGGAACCCTAACTCTGAGTTTCACCTAATTTTATTGCTCATATTATTCCTTCACTTTGATTTTCTCATGCAGTCAAATCAAACTGCTGCGTGATGCAAGGTCTAACCAATGTATAACCAACTAAGCCGAGGCTAAATAAGCAAACGGTAATGCTGCTGTTCCTCACAGGAGGCTACGAGTCCATACAGAGTCCAAGCCTCTCCTCTCAGCTCTGCAGACACCGGTGTGTCGATCACATAAACAGGTGTGTGCTGATCAATGTTTACCACCTGCAGGTGGGCAGAGGGCTCGTCTTCAGCCCCTGACAATTTCGAGGTTCGAACCCTCCCTCTTTGGCTATTTCAAGCTACTGGGGATCCCTGTACCCATACAACCCAGCACTAGTGCATGGCTTCCTTATCGAGGTCACTAAAGTCAGGCCCCCCTGTGGCTGTGTGCCTGGACAATTGCTGCCTCCTGGAGCAGGTGTGTGACTCCAATGAGGTATTCAGTAACAGACAAGATGACTTCTGTTGATTTGTGCTGCCCCCTGCAGATCTGGGAAAGGGAGTTCCTTGCTAGGGCCCTGGCCAGGCTGAGCAGCCCGGTTTCTGAGGTGCCTTTTAGGGGAGGGACTTTCTTGGGCCCCTGAGACACATTCAGCCTCTCTTTGGGTCTTCAGGAAAACTCTTGTGCTGGTCAGAACTTGGCCGGTGGGTGCCAGCCACTGAACTGTCTCCCTGACTGCCCTTAGCAGCTACTCTCAATGGTGGACTCAGCTTGGGGTCACTCTTCCTTCCTTGCTCAGGTGGCTTCAGCAGCTCCCTGTGCTCTGGCTTTTTAGCTTGGTCCCACCCACTCTACTTCCTAGGCCTCTAATGCTGTGGGACCCCCCCCCCCACCACGTACCCCTTCCTGGACTTCTTTCCCCTGGCATCCTTTTCTGTCTTCCGTAAATGACATCCTGGGCCCATCTCAAACACTACAAATTCTGAAAAGCTTCTCAACTCCTGAGTTATCCTCATGTCCTCCCCATGCCTCTGCCACACGTTAATTTCCCAGAGCCATCCCTCGGCTGGCCCAGAAGATCGGTACTATAAGAGATCAGAGTGTCTTCCTAAGCCAGGAAGAGCCCAAGGCTCCACTTAGCTCAGGCTTACACGTGATGAAGAAAGGGAGCTTGAATTTCCATTTTCAGCCAAAGAATCACAATTTACGAGAAGCCCTGTTCATCATCACTGGCCATAAATTTGTCCTGAGGGAGTCGAACCTTGGACTATGGAGCATTAGGCTTTAGAAATCCTTTCTCTGTCTCCACGGACGTGCCATCTAGTCATGTTTTAGAGCATCTAGACTTTCATAATGTGCCAGGATGCTGAGTTGTAGTTTGCTGGCAAAGGAGAATCTGGGGGAGGAATCTGGCATTACTGTAGTAATGCAGGGTCCCTGGAACACAAAGAGGTGGAGCCCCAGCCTCCATCTGCTGTCAGCCAGTGGTCTCAAAGGCCTCACCTGAGTCCTCAGTCAGCTTTGGGGGGCCGGGCCCTCTCCTCCCACCAGAGACCCCAGGCGGTGCCTTCTTACCCAGGCTCCCGAGCACGCACCTCACACCCCTCAGCCCCTGCTCTTCTCTGCCCAGAGAAGGAGCCCCCTCTCTCTGACTCAGCACTGAGGACCGTCAGTGGGAGTGGCTTTATCCTCTTCTACATTCCTGACAGTAACAGAGGAGCCTGATGAACTGGGGTGTCTGTGTTTGTGAGTCACACCTACCGATATCTACCATACTGAAAAGCAATCTAAAGAAAACAACTAGAAACTTATCACATGTGAACAGAAAGAATATATTTTTACCCAAAATGATCTTTTCAGAACCAGGGATGGTTGGGTCTGAGAGGAGTATCCTTGCAGCTCTGCCAAGATGCAAGCTACACAGCTGGCCTGACTGCTTGTGGGGTCTCCTGAAACAAGTGCCATTGAATGCCACCACCTGTAGTGACCTCTCGTAAGACGTTACAGTTACCTGGGTGTGACTGGGGTTTCCCCTGCTGATCATGGGCACCTGGCCAGGGGCAGGGGGAGACTGGTAGGGATCTGGGACCCAGATCCTGATTGGCAGCCAACAATTTCTGTGGTGAACAGAATTAGGAACCCAGCACAGAGCTGGCCAAGGCCATGGTGCCTTTTACTGTCAGCTGTTCAGAGACCAGAAAGCCTTTTACCATTGGCAAGGTCTCTACCCCTCACCCGCTCACCAAGCAGTGCATGGAAAGCTAAGAGGAGCAGCCAGTGCCAGACACTCAGATGCCTGGCCGTGGCCACCACATGGCAACAGCGTATAAGGAGCTGGGGCTTGAGGCCACCCACACCACCTGGAGCCTCTGCCCAGCCTGCTGCCTTCCCTAGGCCTTGGTTTTCCCAGCTGTGGAATGGGGCCGTAGGAATTTTTACCTCCCAAGGTTTCGGGGAGACTCAGTGGAGGCGAATGTATAAAGTGTGGCCCAGAGCTCTATAAAGTGTGGCTGTTGTCACAGCCCTAATGGGAACAACCATTCATGTCACTCTTTCCTGGTGGGTGTGGGGACCCTGCAGGGACAGTCAGCTCTGTTCTGCATCCCAGGTTTCTAGCACAGATCTGGCAATGGATGAGGGCTTAGTGAACAGTGGGTGAAAGAAAAAAGAAAGAAAAGGGGAGAAAAAGAGGGAAAGGTGGAAAGGAGAGAGGAAGGAAGAGACTGATAGAGCTGTCCTAACTAAGAGCAGATGGATCCCACTGTTACTTTAGACGGCGAGGTGAGAATTTTGAAAATACTATTATGGCATCCTTGGCTCTGTGTTCTGTGAATGCAGCATTTTAGAAGCCTGATGCAGGGAATTCACGACTCACACTGAAGGCTCTGAGAAGTCCTGCAGTCCCTGTGGAACAGTCTCCTTTCCTGTCACTTAACACAGGGCTTCCTCTGAGCCGCAGGCAGTGATGACCTCCCCTCCTGGCCTCTCCCCAGGGCAGGGAGCTAATAGCAGGAGAGTAGTCTGACTCCTCTGTGCATATGGGGCCCACCTGCAGCAACCTTCTGCAAGCCCGGCACTGAAGGGCCCCGTTGGGGCCAAGCTACAAGAGCCACACCACACCTAGGCCTGGATACCAGGGAGTGGGCGGGGAGTCCAGACAGAGATGCAGAGTCCTTCCCAGCAGCCCTGGTCCGCAGAGCCAGTGCCCGCCAGGTCGACACTAATCAGATCCAACCCGCACAAATCCAATTATGCTCTGCAAACCAAGACTGTGTGTCTCCTTGGTGCCCAGGGCAGGCGGAGGCACAAGGAGGAGATGGGGGTTTGGTGCCAGGTCTACTCCGGCCTCCGACACGGGTTGTGTGACCCTGGATGCCTGAGTTCATTCTGTGTAAAACAGGAGTTCCAGGCCCTCTGGGTGAGGAAGTTAGGGCTGAGGGGCAGACACGGTGGCTGAGGGACTGCATCCCAGCCAGGGGGAGCCATGGAAGGATGCAGTAAGGAGAGATGTGAATGAGTCAGGAGGATCTCTGGGCATGTGGGGGAAAGCTCTGGAGGCACAGCGCTGTAGGCCAGAACCAGGAGAGGCTGTTGTACCACCCTGGCTGGGACCAAGGAGCAGATAGCAGGGCCACACCTTGGGGAAGGGAGGGAGGCCAGACTGGGACACACATCAGAGCCTCTTCTGAGGTTTCTGGGAGATTCCATGCAGAGACGGGTCCTGACAACACTGTCTCTTCATTCAACCCTCTCAAGCCTGGCCAGTGGGTGCAGCCTACAGAGGTCCCCCATGCAGGAAGCGTTAGTGTGGAGGACAGTGCTGGGCCACACAGAGTCCGGCCAGCTGGGAGCCCTTCCTCTCCCCACGGTCTTCCCTGTCTTGCCTTCCAGACCCTCTGAGAGCCTTGCAGCTCTTCCCCACCAGGGCCTGTTTTCTGAAGACCTACTCTTGTTAGCCACTGCCCCGAGGCGCACACAGAGGACCGAGGGCGGACTGCTTGCTGCCCCACACCCTGGGCCTTGCAGGCTGGTGCGGCCACAGTGGGGCGGGGCGGCCCGGCCTGGGGTAACAAAGCTGAGATGTGTGCCTCCCAAGGGTCGTTGCCATAGCGACTTCATCAATAACATCACTTTCTGCA